ATGATAGAAACTAAACTACAATCAGATGGAATTTATGGAAATCTTTTACAAATTCATATATTGACATGAATGCTGCTGTCCAAAATGTGAATTTTTTCAAGAGGGTGGAAATTTATGGATAAATTTTAAATGCTTGGCAAGACGATCTCGCGAGCGACATTTCAGTCAATGATGTTCAAAAGAAAGCCAACATTGTTTTGAGTTTTATCAGCAGAAATTTACATCCAAAATCGTAAGTAAAGGACAAGTGAAGTGTATGCATGAATGTAATATATCAAAGTCAATTATGCGAGTGTGTGATGCGATTTATGTCAATATGGCGTATGGTAAGCAGATCGATGCTTCTAAAATTGTTGTTGATGAAGGACGTTTAGCTATGATTTCTTTAGTGCTTGGGGAATCGTGGCCGTTATACGGCAGCGAAATCCTACATTCCTGCAAATATATTTCAATGGACAAAAAATCTGTAGCCATAAGGCGCCATACTATTATTTACTTTATCATAAACAAATGTTTGGGGTTTTTCAGTTTATGATCATTGATCATTCAATCATTGGACAGTTATACTACATATTGTTTAAGATCTGAGAAAACTAACATTGATTACATGAGAAGCTGTTTACTATAACCTGTGATTTTGAGTCTTCTGATCCATGAAGCTTTTTATTTTGACAATTTGACTGGAATGGTAATAAACCTGAGTATTTCACATACATGGAATGTTGTCCCATGTCACATATTGTCCCCTTTTCTAACTGAACACCTCATGTATAGATGTTTGAATGGGGGTCTCTAGGGGGGTCTATGCCTGACAACTTGGTAGAAATTTTTAAAGACTATATCTGTTTTTGAATAGCATTATTGTAAAATAAATTTTACGTTCCTAGACATGCTAATGAGCCATATATTTGGCATGATAATGGCCTAAATATTTGGCAAAACATTCAAGTATTGTTCACTTCATTTTTTTTTTTGAAAAAAACGTAAGCAAAATGTTTTGTTTTTACGCAAAAACGATGCCCACAAATACATTTTGTATTGCTCTAAAACGCTGAAAATGGCATTTTCAAGGCTCTGAAATTCAAAATTTCTCAGGGGAGAATGCCTCAGACCCCCCCAGGTGCGGAGCGCCTTCGACGTTTTATGACTGATGTTTGAAAAATCCTAGATCCGCCCCTGAACAAACATGTTAGCCGTTGTTGAATTAGTACAAAAAAGTTCTTTGCATGCAAATACATCAATGATAAACAAGAATTTGCCCTGAGCAGGAAATCAGTGGAACTATTTCGGCTTTGTCGAATCAAAAATTATAGCTTTAATTATCTTTAGCTACTTTTTTGCACATTACATTTTGTCTGCGGTATCTTTTGGTCTTACATGATCTTTGCTATGCTTGTAATCTTTTAACATGAATAATTGAAAATGATTGTTTTTTACCTATTCTATGTTTATAATAACACGTGTATTATCTAGAAAATAAGGAACACTTTCACCAAGCGTTATTCTTTTCTTATTTTCTGTTAGAGACTCTAATGCATGATATCTTCTACCAAATATTGGCTTTTTTCTTTTCTTTGTAAAAAAAAGCATAAATACTTTAATGGAGCATTCGTGACTCAAAGCCAAGAAAGGTCTCGAACCTATAGTTAGGTTTGACAATTGTGGCCACATCGTTGTTCATGACCTTAATTTAAATATGATATTGGCTACTAAAAATTCCGACTACTGAATTTGCGAATGATTATAACGATAATCTAGCTATCTTTGATAAATTGGCTGTTAGAGACTTAAATAAAAACAAAATGTGATCAAAACGTTCAATATTGGGAGACAACCAGAATAAGCTAGTTTTTACTTATATTGCGGCGGAAGTTTATGGTTTGATAATAGCTAAGTCATTTCAACTTAACTTAACCGGTTTGCAACAAACAAAAATTATTTTATGTATATCTTTAAAACAAGGAATGAGAAATCTTAGAAGGGAACGAGGAAGGAAACGGGGAATGCAAAAACAAGGGATGAGAAATGCCGGAATCTTTGAAACAAGGAATGTGTAATTATGCAAAAACCGTGTATATTCAAAACAAATTCGTACGACATCGTACTAATTCCGAATTTTTCACAAATTTCATGCAAACGGCTAGTTAAGATGCGTTATTTTTGGACAAGCTTACAAAGAATGGTTTACAAGGCAATTACCAAGGAGTCTCATGAGTCTGGGCATGTTGCCAACTGATTTTGGACTTTGATTGTGTCCTTGTATAAAGTTAACAAAGCGATTGGTATGTACACAGTAAACTCACGTTTCTTTCGATTTATGACTGCCAAATGTGCCTAAACAATTGAACTGATTTCGGTCGCTATTTGGTCATTTGTCAACACTGCGTCATCACTGCATTTTGAAAAGTTTCGAGGGGGAAAGCAACCTTTTAAATGGCAATTTTTTATTTTTTTTTCTCCTAAAAGTTGAGATTTGTGATGCTCTAATTTCAGTCAATTTCTGCTTGTTTTTTTGCATCATCTTAATTCAAATTCCACAGTGTGTCGTAACTCGTAAACATTCTCACATTGTTAACTAAGTATAAATAACTAATGTTAATTTCAGCATATAATGCAATAGAGTTTTTAAAGTTTTGCATTTTTAAATTTCATAAATAAGATAAGTTTTAATATTTCAATAGTATCTTTGGGGAATAAAGAGCCTTGCATTTCTCTTTACTTTGACACCATGCAACATTTGTTATTATTAAAAGACAGTGATGACGCAATGTTGACAAATGACAAAATAGCGACCGAAATCAGTTCAAATGTTTGGGCAAACTGGACAGTCATAAATTAAAAGAAACGATAGTTTACTGTGTACATACCGATCACTTTGTTAACTTTATACGAGAACACAATTGTTCGAAGTCCCAAAATCAGTTGGCAACATGCCCAGACTCATATCTCGCTTTAATAAAAGCAATTTTCTCTATGGCAAGCCAAACCTGCCAAAAGTGTATCGAGATTTATATGTCGTATAAGAATTACTATAAGTGTATTCTAAGGCAGCCTTACATGACAAAAGTCCATCGAGAAGAATATATTGTGTATCCAGTTGTATATACGATTTCTTTAAACGCGTATACATGCGGTCGATAAAGTTATACTGGCAATCCAAACATACATACCAGTGATTAAGAAAATTAATACAACACACGAGACAAATATAACAATATGCAAAACAAATACGTTTACATCCAAATGCATACATAAGACGAGAGGAATATAACACCCGCTTCGTCTTAGGCATATGGCTAATAGCCGTATTTTAGTGCTAAAAAGTACAGGCTGATAGCCGTCAAAGTACACGTACGCTGTACGTTCGCGCCAGGCTCCTTTGATGGTTACCGAGCACGGCCTTCGACAGGGGTCTGGTGATTAATAAACATAATCTTTTCTCTTCGCGTTGTTTCAAACAAACTAGACTATATTGCACACCAAATAGACTCTTCTGGTTCATTTTAAGCAGGATAGGAATCATGTCAAGGTAAAATAATGCTATCCATTGTGATAATTTATTAACAAGCTCATTTTCATTCCAAGATGTATTCTACTTCTATATAAATCTATTTTATAAAGCTTCTTATTTGTCTACATCGCTGTTTTATAACTTTTTCCATATCTGCTTGTTAATCTCACCTTATGGTGAGCATGCATATCTCTGTGCTATAATTTGTGCCAAATTTAGACCTACAAACCGCAGTAATGTTGTAAATATTGTGGTTTGTTCGCATACGGATTTTCCTAAATCGCGGGAAATTATGCGGGGCTTTCCCTGAGTATTGCAATACTCAAGAAAAAGATAGTTCCACATGGTTGCAATAACGAATTAAAAATTTTCTTGACTCTTCACTCACTTTTCAGCTTTTCAAAACGGTAGAATTGTCCATCAATAGTCAGCCAAAGGAAATCATTTCAAAAGACTGCAAGTTTTACAAAATTTTGAAATAAAAAATAAAATTCATTTACTTTTTTAGTGGAATGAATGGATACCAATTATTTTGTAAAGAAGAAGCTTCTAACGATGGTGAGAATAGCTACGTACACAAAGTTGTCTCTATTAAAATTATGCACATTTTTATTTTTTTTTTAGACTCCTTAAAGTCTTTGACATTTCACGTTAGAAATATTGAATTGGGACAACGATGGCGCTGCCTGGATGAAAGCCAACGAGAAGGCTATATAAATAGGGCAAAGACAGATTGCTCTGTTTTAGACCACGAAACGCAAGAAACGAGAGTTGAAAAAATTTTGAAGAAGGTATGTTTATTGGGTCAAAATAAACTCACAAAATTATTTTTGTGATTAGTTCCAATTTTTATTAATGCTATCGGTGCCATTGTTTAGTTGGATGCTTTGAAAGGAATGAACATTGATTACTTTTTCGTGGCTGCCGTGGAATCTGGTGTTGAAGTGCATGGCTCAAAGTCTGCCTTACAATACTGCAAAAGAAAGAGCATCCCCGCTTCATTTTATGCTTTTGTAAACAGCTCTGGAGGTTTGTGGTCCTTACTTTACATCATGCCCGTGAGGAAATACATTTTTCTTCTCAGGACAACCGAGAACTTGTGATTTTTGTTTCTTATTTAATATTTTAATCTAATACAAACTTTTTGGTTGTAGCAATTGAGTCAAACGACAACGTTGAAACTGTTACCGATAATCGCATGGCAAGATTGAAACAGAGGAGGAAATCTTTGCGTGATATTTTAAATCAGAAATACTTTAAGTATGAACATATAACTAATTGTAAAACTTTTTAGATGGAATATGAAAAGGTTGTTCTTGGTCAATATTTCTTGAAATAAGTACAATTACTTATGCAGGAAATTTTGTAATATTTGAAGCAATGATTAGTAAAAGAGGTTGCACACAATCCTGCAGCAATTTCAGTAACAATAGCTTATACTAGTTTCAAAAAAAAGGAAAAGTGCCATACACTAGGTGAAGCAACTGGAATGGACAAAGCAAAAGTGCCATACACTTCTCTTTTGAAAGGGGATTTCAAATATGTAGTATGCGGAATTCCAGAACACGCATCATTACGGGATCCATCGACTATGGGAGAAGCAGCATTGGATTTATTTATTGAAAAATCAAATGAGATTACGTTTGTGGAAAGGGAGATAGTGGAAGGAAATAATGTTCTTCATGCAGTAAATGTTGAGGAATGTGACAAAGAGCAAGACAATGGCGGCCACATCCAAGAAGTTGTTGAAGTTAGTGGTGAGAATGATAATAATAGTCATGGCGAACTTGTTAACAACGTTTCCGACGAATATGATGTTGGCCATGGACAAAGAACTGATAATGTTAATAATGGTTGTGAAAATGGTGATGTTCCCGGTGATAGAGAAGATGTTGTAAATAATGGTGGCGATGATGATGGTAATTCTGGGAATGTATTTTGTGGACGAGACGGAACAGTTAATGAAGGTGACGGAAACCTTGTAACAGAAAACGCCGTGCCTAAAAAAGTTGATAAAGAGCACAGGAAGGGAAGAAGTAACAACAAAAGAAAAAGAAAAGAAGCAAAGTCCAGTGACAGAGAAAGTGTGTCTTGTGCAAAGAAAAGAGCTAGTCATTTGACATCCTATGACAAATGTAAAGCCTTTCTTTGTCAAGAACCATCTTCCAAAGATAATGGAATGGTGGATTGGGTGTTGTGTGATGTTTGTCAACAATGGTACCATTGGGATTGCGTTGGCATTACGACGAAGCCGAAAGGAAAATTTGATTGCGGATGCAATGTATCTTACTTTACTCATGGGTAAATTATACATCCACTTTTTCTAAACTACGAACTGTTATTCTGTTCATTTTTGCGCATCACCGATTTATTTGCATACGTATTCATAATAGTTATTAATACGTTCCTCGTGCTCTTAAATGTTTTATTTCTAAAATGTGAGTTTCTTGAACACACACGAATAAATATATTTCATTTCTTTTGTCTTTTCCTTGACAGATCTGCGAAAACATTTGACATAAATATAAAGGGAAATCGCTCATTCAGAGGATTAAAGGTTCTCTTAGAATTTAAATTATTTAATATCAGTTGCAGATAAACATACCTATAATATTTTAACATTGAATTTTAGGCACATTTAACAAAAATCGTCAACGGTGCGATAACCAGTAAACGCCACAGGTTATTTAAGCAAATGATCCGTGGGCGAAATCAAGCTCAGACTGAACTCACCGATCTCTACATGACGTGTCCTTTAACTCGAACTCAAGTATAAAAACACATTCTCTGTTAGAAATGGAGCCCCACTAGTGTCTTAACTCTTCATTTTTGTATATATAGGCAAACGATCTGTTGAATGTAGTCAAAGAAATAGTCACAGATATTTTTCGATCCTTTGATGAAACAAATTCAATGAACATCAACTACGTGTATAACGTTTTATTCCATGAGGTTTGTTGTTCATCTAACGCCAAATTCCAAGACGTTTTTTTGTTGTGAAAGCTATGTGACAGTGAAACTATGATATTTTATATAGGCCTGCATATATTGTATACGAAAAACTGAGCGTTGTCTCCGAAATAACGCTGAAAAAATTTATAATTGTGCGAGTGGAGTTCAAGACGGTGCAGACTCTGAAAGTGACTAACCTTGTTATCTACCGAAGTACCTGAAAGCTGTAGTGGATCTTGTAGTGGATACTCTTATGACTCAATGTCGTCTAAATATACTATTGACGATGAACTAGCGCTGTTTTTATAGTTTAGGTTTACTGAATAAGATTTTCTTTTTTAGCTAAGTTCTATCACTTTATCAAAAACTAATGAATTCTTGTACAGGAAACAATTATACTTCAATTTTGTCTACAATTAAAATAAAAGATGCTTTTATTTAACAAAAAGTTTTTTTCAACGCATTTATTATCCAGCGTACGTACGTTGGATGGCTATTACCCACGTATATATAACATCCATTTTCACCATATACTACATTGTATAACTACCAAAAAGTTACATACGACAGTTCAACAAGTATTTGTTCAACAAAAAGTTTTTTTCAACGCATTTATTATCCAGCGTACGTACGTTGGGCGGCTATTACCCACGTATATATAACATCCATTTTCACCATATACTACATTGTATAACTACCAAAAAGTTACATACGACAGTTCAACAAGTATTTATTTAACAAAAATTTTTTTTCAACGCATTTATTATCCAGCGTACGTACGTTGGGCGGCTATTACCCACATATATATAACATCCATTTTCACCATATACTACATTGTATAACTACCAAAAGTTACATACGACAGTTCAACAAGAATTTGTTCAACAAAACGTTTTTTGCAACGCATTTATTATCCAGCGTACGTACGTTGGACGGCTATTACCCATATATATATAACATCCATTTTCACCATATACTACATTGTATAACTATCAAAAAGTTACATACGACAGTTCAACAAGTATTTATTCAACAAAAGTTTTTGCAACGTATTTATTATCCAGCGTACGTACGTTGGACGGCTATTACCCATGTATATATAACATCCATTCACCATATACTACATGTATAACTACCAAAAAGTTACATACGACAGTTCAACAAGTATTTATTGAACAAAATTTTTTTTAACGCATTTATTATCCAGCGTACGTACGTTGGACTGCTATTACCCATGTATATATAACATCCATTTTCACCATATACTGCATTGTATAACTACCAAAAAGTTACATATGACAGTTCAACAAGTATTTATTCAACAAAATTTTTTAACGCATTTATTATCCAGCGTACGTACGTTGGGCGGCTATTACCACGTATATATAACATCCATTTTCACCATATACTACATTGTATAACTACTAAAAAGTTACATATGACAGTTCAACAAGTATTTATTCAACAAAAAGTTTTTTTTCAACGCATTTATTATCCAGCGTACGTACGTTGGGCGGCTATTACCATGTAAATATAACATCCATTTTTACCATATACTACATTGTATAACTACCAAAAAGTTACATACGACAGTTCAACAAGTATTTGTTCAACAAAACGCTTTTTGCAACGCATTTATTATCCAGCGTACGTACGTTGGACGGCTATTACCCATGTATATATAACATCCATTCTCACCATATACTACATGTATAACTACCAAAAAGTTACATACGACAGTTCAACAAGTATTTATTCAACAAAATTTTTTTTTCAACGCATTTATTATCCAGCGTACGTACGTTGGGCGGCTATTACACATGTATATATAACATCCATTTTCACCATATACTACATTGTATAACTAACAAAAAGTTACATACGACAGTTCAACAAGTATTTATTTAACAAAAATTTTTTTTTAACGCATTTATTATCCAGCGTACGTACGTTGGGCGGCTATTACCCATGTCTATATAATATCCATTTTCACCATATACTGCATTGTATAACTACCAAAAAGTTACATATGACAGTTCAACAAGTATTTATTTAACAAAAAGTTTTTTTCAACGCATTTATTATCCAGCGTACGTACGTTGGGCGGCTATTACCCATGTATATATAACATCCATTTTCACCATATACTACATTGTATAACTACCAAAAAGTTACATACGACAGTTCAACAAGTATTTGTTCAACAAAAAGTTTTTTTCAACGCATTTATTATCCAGCGTACGTACGTTGGGCGGCTATTACACATGACTTCGTAACAACTTTTCAATTGCCCTTTACGTAAATTGATTTTCTAATTAAAGGATTTTCAAGAGCTTAAAGTGCCTGCACAATCCCCGTTATACATCATCGCTGGTGCTTTCATAGTCGTCTTCACTTGTTTGATCGTCTTCAGAATCCACTTGTTCATATACAACCACTTTTTCTTCGTCATCCAGAGCCGACACCAGATCACTTTGAAGCATGTCAACATTCCCATGAAATAAATACTGTGGTTTGTCTTTGTTGATGTACAAAGAAAACCTTTTTTTCTAGATCTATCAACATGCTTTCAATTTGAAAGATCTTCCTGTGTAAAAATATCGCTTCACCGTATTCAACATCAAGTACGTTTTCATGGTTAATAAAACTATTCAAAAAAGTCAGTAATCTTGCTGTGCTGTTGAAAGTAGTGACTCCACGTATTTTCCATTTCTGACTTCAACAGGATTTGCTCTTCCTTGGATCGGTCAAGCAAATGGCATAAATCTATAGCCTTCCGTTTAACAGTAAATGGAACTGAACAATCTTCATCAGTAGGTGCAGCTAGATATTCACACCAAAAATCATTGTCAGGATCTTTGACAGCATCAAATGTTAATGCGGTATGTGAATGATTAGAATGTGATTCTTTTGCCTCGTTATAAGCTGCGATATCTTTATTGACATCCTTTGTTACTCGAGTAATTTGCTTCGAAAGTCTGGATGCCAACGCTTGACCATCTGAAAAACAGAACAAACATACAGAGAACATTACAAAGAAGGCAACATGTAAAGTAATTTACAAACATTGCAAGTGGTATGGAACATTTATGAGATAGGTAGAGTTACCACAGTATTTAGACTTAAGATTTAGGAGAAACCATCTTTCAACAACATTTTTCCTCATTCGAGACAAAACACGTTTTTTTTCCTAGACGCAACCTCGCGTTTTGCATTTTCGTACTCTGAGTCAGTATTTTGCCAGCGTGCAGAAATTGAGTTTTCCCTTTCCATGATCTTCAACTGCTCGTCAATTCTAAACAGTAAATACCAAATCATTACAAATATAAGGCACGGTCAGATAAGCACCTGCAAGTTGCATATACATCTCTACTTGTACGTACGTATAAAAACAAGAAATAATTTTTATTCGATATTCCAACTTATTATTCACAATGTTACGACGTACATTAATAGCTTCAAAATTTTCCCAGTTCATTTTTCTAAATGCACACTGTTTAAGACTTTAATATCTCTAGGAACAAGTTCAACTTTTCGAACATACTTTTTCATCTGATTAAATCGAACAGTCAGTTCACTTGGATCAGTGCAACCATTCCATCGATGGTAAAGATCAGCGTACAAGTCCAGGTATATAACGTACTTGCATTTCCAATCTTCTTCTTCTGTAAGTTGTTGAAGATTTACGTATATTTGTTAAAAAAAAAGTTTTCTGTGGGCAAAACATTCCACATAATGAGCATCAATAATTATGTGTCAAATCTGTTCCATAGCTACAAGCCATTGTTTCTCAATTACTAACCAGTCTCAACTTCACGACCAAAAAAAGTCGATTCGTCCTTCATCCACTCACGAATATTATCTATTGAAATCCTGTGAGCTTTAGATAATGAAAAAAAAGAAAATTTACTGCTTTCATGTGAGTCGTAAATAGTTCATATCCAAAATCGGAGTCAAATATAACCACACAGCAAATACAAACATATACTCACACGGAAAGCACCTGCATAACTTTTCAATATCTGATTTTGCAGTTTCTTCCACGTCAACAGCTCGCTTCATCCTTGCCATCAGCAAATTGCCTCAAAAAACAAAATTTAATTCATACCTGCTATTACATAATATGATGACATGTTAGCTATGTATATGTTCAAACAAAGAAACAAAACTAGTTATACCTAAATTAATCTTCGTTTTCTTTCCATAATGTAAAAGAGCATCACTGAGTACATCAACTCTGTGACTTGGACGCATTTCTTTAGTCATTCTGCTAAATTTGCGAATGTAAGCCCACAATCTCTCCAACATCTCACCGTCAGTTAGGCCAAATCCTTCTTTACGACGGGGACTAAATTTAACCTTTTACAAGAAAGATTTAGCAAAAATTATTGATTTTTTATAATTTTATCATCTACAATACCATTAGTTATGACAGCATAAAAACCCAGGTATCACCATCTGTTAATACGTATGAAAAATAAAAACAATAACAACTAACTTGGCATCGTCCAACATGGCCATAGCAGTGAAAAATTGGAATTGAAAATTGAAAAATGTCAATAATTGGATCCTCCAAATTCTTTTTGTAAAAAACAAAATAAAGAAAAACATGTGAAAGACTACCTTTTCAAAGAAAAAAGTGTTGAGGAAAGTTATTGACTAAGGAAACAGTTAACAAAGCAACTATTGTCAATTGAATATTACCTGTAAGTGTTTCACCAACATGCATGCAACATCATACAATATGTTTATTTTGAGTGCAGGTTTATCAGCATTATCTTTCTCTAATTCTTGGAGAACATAAACTGCATAGCTCAATCTATAAAATATGTAGAATATTTTTTTAAATAATGCAACCACATGTATGCAAAAAGCTTCAGCACTTGCACAAAGCAATGAAAGTAGCAAACCAACTGAAAAAAATAAATTTACACAATCAAATGCAAGCATCTTAACCACCTCTTTCAAACCAAGAACATTTAGGTAAAAATAGAGAAAAATGTGTAACAGACCTCTCTCCATGTTTCAAATTTAAGAATTTTTAGGAAACTCATGTCGACAGCCTCGCCAAAGATTGCTGTTTCATCAAGAGCTCTGTAGCGATTCATTGATCGAACAGCATTCCCAGCAAGAAAACCATGACACTCCTATAAGTATCAGTATGTAACAAACAAAAAGTATACAAGAGCTTTATTTCCTAAAGCCCATGGCACAAATTTATTGAAAATAAAAACTATGTGGTAGAGAATGTAAAAAATCAAATATATTCAAAGCACTGTAACTTCCATGCCTGAATTTTCATTAGAATAACAAAGTATATTAAAGCTACATTGACCTTGTTTGATGTAGGTGTGGTATAATTGGCAACAAATTGATCAACATGTGTCTGATCATAGAACATCAGCTGTTCAAATAGAGGTTTTCCAATACTCTGCCCAGCTTTTTCCTTCGTCCAATAAAAGAGCATCAAGAGACTCAAAGATCACACCATCAGTCTTCAATAAAATGGTGAAGGATAAAATCATGCAATGTATTTGAGTTCAATGATGCAAATGATGCAGTCAAAAGGTGTTTAAGATAGCATTGCTAATGTTCTTTTACTAAATTGTCATTGTTAAACGAGTAATCTGAATATACTCACTTTGGGACAAGCAGGACAGATATTTCCTTCATCAAGCTCAGGAATAACACAGCTCAACATGTTTAGTTTATGTCTGTAAATTCTGAAAAAAACAATGACACAAAGAAAGCAATTATGCACTCTTAAACAAATGACATAAACAAAATACAGTGCAATACAGTAATACTTGAGGAAAAATCCTTTCTCATCATAAACTTTAGCATTTTGATTTCCTCCAATTAAATACATCTCTTAAGATGAGATTCTTAGGCTATAAAATTGACTGCAACTTTCCCAGCAATTCATACGTAGTACAGCAGTGCAATAAATCAGTGACCTACATGCAATTACCTGTATTCTTCAAAAGCATCTATAATGACAGGATACATTTTTGGTGTTGCATAAGAAGAAAATATGTGGTTGTGATTAAACTCTTCAAATGACTGACAAATGCTTTTTATTGATGCCTGGCATTCCATCTGCACAGAATGAACCAATTCAAAAAACTCAATTGCAATTCTTGGTTTTGTAGGTGTTCCACCCCAAAGGCCAAATTGCAGAAGTTGAACAAACTCGGAAGAGCATGAGCAAAACTGTACCTCAACAGTACAAAAGGTGCCTAAAAATTGAAAAAGATCCAAAATTATAATTGTGTTGAGCCATCCCAGCTAAAATGAAGAAACTTTTACAGCACATTTTACATATAACATACCTTTAACATCAACAACAGAAACACTTCTTTTGTGACGAGCTGTTTGGCATGAACAATCATACACCAGCATGTTCATGAGTTTATATGGCCAAAACATGCCATCCTACAAAGCAATGAATAACCTCATAGAAATTCATTGTAATCAATCCCCTTTCTTGCATTCATAAAAAATATTAGATTAGTGCTTCGTAGCATGTTTCACAATGTAAACTCTCATTTTATTTTTGCATTTTTTATTGCAAGTGTTGAGAGAGTTAACTGTAAAGACTTTTATAATATCTACCTCATAAAGGTTACCTAAAATATTTCAACATGATGACAAATATTTACGGTTGTGTGCATCTTTAACATACAGTTCTCACAATACTTTGCCATTGGACCACAATCGCTGCACCTAAACTTTGCTTCATTATCACAATGAATACACTTCCGATTGCTCCAATTTTTGCCAGCAAACTGAAATGTATTCTTTATAACTGAATGTCGCAAATTTTCCCATGCTTTTTGTTTTCTTTCAACTTTCTGGTAATAAGAAGCTGATTCTTCACAATCATGGCGAACATCACTTTCAAGATCACTGTTATCTTGTTCCATTCCCAGTTCATGGCCTTCCAATGCACCACAATTATCAGGACTGTTAATAGAACAGCTTCCTCTATGATCCTCAGTAACCAATTCTGACAAATCCACCTCCTCTCTCTCAACATGGCCATCCTCATCATGATATGTGACAGCTACAGTTGCTTTAAACCTTTTATTTGTCCTACAAAAATTATCATAAAAATTTATAAAATGATAATAAATGTTGAAAAGTCTAACAGCTATAAGGCCGTTATTTGGTGTACCTTGGCATCTTTTAACATTACCAGTAAGAAAATCACAAATCAGAAAATATTATCGATATTACCAATGACACAATAACATAAGTTAATCGACCAAAGTACAACGTACGTATCTTCCACGACTACCAGCCGACGTTTTGTGCCCGTACTTTACCGGCTATTAGCCACGTCTCACAAGACGAATGGGGTGAATATAATCGGATGTTTGCCTGTATTTGTGGTCAGCGTGCCATTTATGTTTTACTTTGCACGGCGGCTATTGTGTATTTTGTGTTTGATTTTCTTGCTTTTCAAGATGTAACATTCTATCGCAATTACAAATAGTAATGGCGTAATAAGAGAGTTATTAAGCAGGGTTTCATAGCTTTCTCACGCTACTTCACCGCAAAACGCTGAAGTTAATACCATCTTCTACCGGAGACAAAGTCAAGGAATGGAAGTCTCACATTCACCGTCGAGGCAAAATCCTCTTCCAATCCGTAGAAATAATGATAGCGTTACCACTACAGCGTTTGGTGCCAGATATTTTATTCTTGCAGTGAGATCGCCACCGCGAAGAAGCAGAACTGTAAACAGAAGCAAGATTCAAGATAGAGACAACCGACCTTTCTTACGGGACTTGATATTATTGAGTGGGTCAAATGAAGATGTGGTACCACGGCAAGGATCACGGCTTTTGTTAATGGAAAATGGCCACATCGTAACTGGTTGTAGTTTCACTATAGGGCTATGAGCTACAGCAGTCGAGATCAGAATAATTGAAGCAGTTAATGGAAAAATACCCTCAAATGTGGAGATTGAGATTTTGACCTCAATCCACAACAGTTTAGTGGCCCCATCGTTAGCACCTTGGCAACTTCTTTATGGGGTGATGCTTCACAGAATTTTCAAACAGAAACCTGTATATGTACATCCAAACTTCATATTGCTGAATACAAAATCCTCAAAGCAATCCAGTTTACATCCAAACACTTGATATTTGGTAAGTAAAATTATTATACAGTATGTTTTTATATCTAGTAGTTTCTTAGTGTAGTATATATGGTGCTTCTTAATATTTTTTATCTTTCATACTGCATATATTTACATACATGTTGTTACACCAAAAAATTAGCATTATTTGTTATAATTAGATTATCCAATTGAAATAAGTTCTATCAAAATTGAATAACCTGCTCAATGTACACATATATATTAAGATATAGATTTTCCTATTTTTAATTGTTACCATGTCATTACTTATGTTACCACTTGTCATAATTTCAATCAAAGAATTCATGATTTTATGCATGGATTGTTGTGCTATATGGTATCACAACAAATGAAGGTGCATTTTTTCCAGCTGCACTGATAGCACGTACAAGGTGCACTGGAGTATGAATAAAAAATTCATTGCTAGTGATGAAAGTTGGCGGTTCTTCTCCAGTAATTACTTCATAAGCATGAAAATGATTGTTGAAGTTGACAGCAATATATTTCTTTATGTGAAAATAGGATATGGATGGTAGCATCACAATTTTCGTTATTAGACCAAATTCTGGCACTTATTGCTCATATGAATAACCTGTGACTACAATTACTCCAACCATGTAATCATTCCCATTAATGGTAACCTTTTTAGGCCTGTTGTCATACAGGAAAATACAACATAGTATTAATAACAATTTTCAAAATCCATGCAAAATTTTGTGCAGTTTTCTGCAATTTATTGGACTCATTTTGGCATGCCAGGCAGAAAACAGAACACAGCAATGTTTTCTAGTTTGTCCCATGCTTTAGATAAATTACTGGCATGATGTAATGTTTTAATGTACAGCTTGCTGACAGTGAAGACTTTGCAATGGTATTTAAATCACAAACAAAATATAATAAGAGTACATAAAAAACTTACTCAAAGAACAAATCTGTGTTTGCTATGTCTCTCTCCTTAACTTGTAATTCAGCATAGTAAGTGGATTCCTGAACCACAACAATGTGACCGCTGCCTATAGAAGTTCATAAACCAAATTTTTTGATGTAATTTGTTTAATAAATGCATGCTTTAAATTTTATATTAATGCACATGCCTGTAGCTCTAAACTAGTGATACATTATGCTATATATTACTTGTTGATGTTGGTCGTTTGAGAAATGAGCAAGTTTCTTCATCATTCACATTTGAATAGTAGCATTGCTGCCCCTGATGACGTGTGGCCATGGTATATGCTATATTCTTAAAATTCCCAATAAATGAAGCCAGCCTTTTAATATAATGATGCTTAGCTTCAAAACGCATGCCCCATGTCTGCTTCGTTGGTCCAAATCTATAAAAAATATTATGTGTATCGCACTCCTGGAATTATTTGTACTTAATTATTGCCATATACCATTACTATCTCATGTGTTTAGTGTCTGAGTGCTTACCACATCATGTGGGATGGATAATGAACCATATAGTGCATTTTAGGAATGATTGAACAGTCTGGATAAAGTTGAACAAATGTGGAATGATGTTCTTTAATCAGTCCTTCCAATACAGCAATGGCATTGACTGATGTTCTTTGTGCAAACACAATATCAACCATCTCTAGGAGCTGGCAGAAAAGCTTCCAGTGCTGATTGTCCTCTGGAACAAGTGTACCAATTATCAGGGGTAAGAACTTTGCAAAGCAATACATAAGATAAAGTAATAGGCTGGCATTTTTTCTGGCAATTTTATCAAGTGCTGGTAGCTTACTGTCTTTACTTAAAAATGTAGACAATGCCTGGGTTATTATCACCACTTTATAAAACTAATCAAGTTTTATTATTTAAGTTACACAGAATTGTAAAAAACTAACAAAACAAGCTAGCGCTCCGAAAACTTTTATTATTTTCGTAAAAACTCACTCATTCATTACAGTAAAAACACAACCCCTTTTGCACTATTACCCATCCCTATTTTCTCGTTTACTTTTTAGCTCATTCCTAGATATAGCTATACCTCATTCCAGACAGGTTTTGAACTTTCACTTTTCAACATCGAAAGGGTTATGTCTTGTAGTAGACCAGAGAGTTCGTTAGAGACTTGTGAACAATTTAATGTACCATTTCCACTTTGTAGTAGTTAATTCAAAAAAAATGTGTAAGGGCAAAAAACCTAGATAATAGAAGAGTTTCAAGCTAAAGAGTATGCAAGAAACCTAAAATCATAATCTTAAAAATAAGGTGTACAAAGAGTGTAAACGCTGTATAAATGATATATATTAATTCAAGTTTCGTTATACATGATGAATAACTACGACAGTTTATAGCCCAGGATATGTTCTATCAAAAAACACAGAGACAAATAGAATGTTTGTATAAAAATGTTCACATATTTAGCACGTTTCCTTGCAGTCATATAATAATACGTTCTTCTGCATAGACTATCATTGGTTTGATTAGACCAAGGACACTTTTCGCAGTAAGAAATGAGGATGACACAATTGTAATTCGACGTTTGTCCATCAGTTATTAGCGAAACTTACAATTACTTCGAACGGATTTAAGAACGGTTACAAAGAGCTTTTGGGGCATCTGAAACTGTTTTTCGCAATGGGCAAAAAATTGATGATTATCGTTGTCTTTTCCTGAAAGTTAGTTTCTTTCGCACAAACACAAATCTTTTGATTACATTATCCTTGTTGCTTTTTTGTGGTCTTGTCCAATTTTATTCAAACGATAAGTTTTTACCACGACGCCTTTATAGTTCAATAGTGCAAAAATTTTGTGTGAATAATATCATTAAATGTTGTATTATTCGCGTCAATATAAATTTGATCCACATCAATTGTTTAACATTCATTGTTCGTACTTGAATAAATTAGAGCAAATCCCTCCAATTCAATTTTGAAAACAATAGGTAGAAAAGAGCTACATGTTCTTTCTCCGTAGCAACGTAAATTTATTAACATTTGTAAAACACGTTTGTGTTTGAATGCCTGATTCACACAAGTAAAATTACAGCGTCAATGACACGACTTTTTTACCTTTACCCAGCAGGATTACAAAGACAAAAAGATCGGAATTTCATTTAAATCTTTTGTAGGTTTTGGGTTAAAAGCACCAAACTTGGCCCATTTGCAAATTTTGACATGCTTAATAAAACTAGCTATGGACATCAGCGTGATTGTACCCGTTAACAGCATAAAACGCTTTCTCAATTATGACGTCATATGATGTTACTAAATAATTTTCAAAATCGTTGTTTTAAGGTTTGAAAGCATTAAATTTTGCACAGTTGCGATTTCGACATGCTAAACAAAACTATCGTTGTGATTGTAATTCACTGTTTTGACAACAGTGAAAATCGCTACCTTTATTATGTGCATTACATGACGTCACTCATGCGCAAAAAGTAATAGTGAGTAATACTAACACAAAAAATATTATAAATTGATAAATCTTGTTCGCATAGCCTTAATCTCGATAGAGTCTAACACATAAACATAATGCTATGCATAGCATGTTGGCTCGTACACACTTACACACTTACACCGTCCTGTGTATTACTTTTCAATTTTGCAGGCTCATTTTAAAAGCTCGTGAAAACATTTGGAAAATTTAAAGAGAGTGGTCCACATAGGTTCCCAATTGCAAGATAAATCTTGTTTCCAGCCTAATAAATCTGCACATTATGAAGGTGGTGAATGTTCCGTTAACGTACGCCAAACATAGCAGGCTTGGTAAACAGTTCCCTTAAAATGATGTAACAGAGCATCTTTTGTGGGTGGAATACTTTTAAAAGATCTACCTTTTGGGGTAAAAAGATCTTTGCGGGGTTCGTTAATGGTCATCCACGAGCTTGCACGATCGTACATTAATATAACAGAACGCTCAATTTCCGGAAATGAAATTTTGACAGCGTGAAGAAAAGGGCGTTTGCATATTAACTTGAAGAAAGTAGAAAAATGGAAATTTGACCAAGTCTCCCAGGTAGTTTTTTACCTTTTCATGCAAATGTTCATGTTTGGTCGCATCCAGTAAGTGCGTGAAAGAATAACATTCCTACAAAACAATCAGGACCCATGCATCGTAAAAATTTCATTGATTGGTAGATAACGCAGATTTTTTCCAGCGCCAAACACCACCCAAAACTCGTTAATTTGTTGTTCTGGAAAGAATGCCTCACAAATGACCACAACATCAGTCTCTACTATTCGGATTAAGATGACGGGATAATGCATAGCTGCATCAGCTTTATGGAGGTTAAGCCTGGTGTCCTCTTCAGGACTACACGGTGATAAAGTTGAAAGATCACAAGCACTAGCCCATTCTAGTGTCAGGTTGCACTCGCCGTTGAATGCCTTTCCCTTTTTTTTCTCTGGTTGGCGCTTTTAAGCTGTGCTGATTGCAACGATCCAAGTTACGTCTACTCTTCGGGCACTTCTCAGCTGGTATTTTACATAAGGAACGAAAACAATGCTGCACTATTCTTGGAAAATGCTAGAAGCACCATGTGAAAGCATGTTGACAATTGCAGCGCCATCAATCATGACAGCCAGTGCATGTGGAGATTCAGTTTAACAGTTTGGTTCTATTGAACTTTCTAGACATGTCAGCAAGTCAGATTTTTTCGGTTATTTCAGTTTTCCAAAGTGGGAGAGAGATAGAGGAAATCCTTGATTTTTATGAGCAAAACTTCATTCAGGTCACCATCACAAAACTTGACAAGAGACGTACAATATTGAAAAAAAGCAGTCTTGTATCAGAGACATAATCAACTTTTTTTATTCTGATTTATTTTTGCATCTTGGACAAGTAAAGTTTCAAAGTTTTTTTTTCCTTCATAGGCTCAGTTAGAGGGGTAGTACGTTTCTTCAATCCTTCTTCAACAATTGCATTTTATTATGTCTTTTGTATCTAATACAAACAGCTCTTCACTTGTTTGCTCGAAAGGATTCTGCAAAGATAATTGTGTAGGTTTTGTTTCTTCATTATGAAGAGACAATGATTGGCTATGTCGTATCAGCTCCTGCGATGCTTCAAAATCAAGGATAACTCTAGAAACTTCCTGATCCAACCATCTCAGTAGCTTTATCTTGTCTTCCGTTAGTCCGCCTCCGCTTTCTTTCACAACCTTGTTGTTTTGTTCATGGGCCTGGTCAATTGGAAATACTGAGAAGAGCCGTTGGCTTTTATTCATCTCATAGTTACCCTTATTGATTCTGCCGATACTAATGGAAGTAAGCACTTAGTGTTTGCCAGATAACAAATATGAACGGTGAACCATCTAGCATAATTAATGTGGTCAAGTGCAAAATAAAACACGGAACTAAAGACTAACAAGCTTCCTTGTAAAGCTGGAAGTAGTTCTCAAGAAATGACCTAACAAATACCAAAATAGCAAGTTCGTAGTCCAGTGTCAATGGCTAATATTAAAACTGTGGAACTTCTTTCGTCTGTTTTGTTTAGCATATCAAAACTTACCCGCGTGCCAAGATTGGTAGTAACTCAAAACATGCAATTTTGATGATTAACTAGTTACGCAACATTATGTAAACATCGGTTTTTACTTTTCACACGTACTACTTTACTTATAACTACAGACTGTTTTGCAAAATCCACAATTGTACCTGGTTTGGTGCTTTTAAACCTGAAAACGACAATTTTGGAAATTTTTTAGTATCGTCACTTTACGTCATAATTTAGGAAGCGCTTTCATATGCTTACAGGCGCAATCACACTAAGGTTTATAGCCAGTTATTTAGCATGTGAAAATCGACAAATGAGCCAAATTTGTGGCTTTTAACCCAAAGCTCACAATTCTTCCAAAAAAGGGCAAAAAACTCCGGACTACCATGGGTGCATTTATTTTTATCTACCAATTAGTGATTGTGCTAACTCGTTGAGTTACGCGCCCAAAGATTTCTTTTAGTTTTTGGAGTAATTCATAACTTTGAAATGAAAGAAAACAAGTCGATCTTGTCGCAGAGAAGAAATTGAGCCTTCGCAGGCAAGATTCTCGTACTGTCAAATGCACCACTCGGCCAGAATAGAGACATGTAAGTCACATGAGAAAATATAGAATTATTGGTACAAATTACCATTTATTGCCTTCCTTTATAATTATAAGAATCGCATCATAGCTACATAGAATGTTTGAGCAATGTTTCGTCACCATCATTGCAAAGATGAATGCAGGGACTTACTTAACCCTCACTATAGAACTATGGCATGGTTATACAGTTTGCATTATGACTTGGAGGAAGAAGACCAATAAAGTATGCACAATGTCCAACATTGCTATGTGGTAAATGAAGCACTGTCGCGTATGCCCATTGTCAATTTAATGGTGTTGCATGGGAGGTGTTTTATCTTGTTTGCTTGGTTAAGCCACAGTATAGGAAGCATAAAATATGGCCACTCCATTGAATATTTTCGTGCCAAGCATATCTTATTACGCATGTGATTGCCATATTGGCAGCAAGTACATTATATTTTGTGACCAATACGATTGACCATATGACGAACGGCAGCCAGTAAACTAATTTCATATACAGCAGCCAGTTGCACAGCGATGTGGCCTTATTGTCTACTCCTATACAACGGTTTAGCTAACATATTTTTTTAACTGTCATAAGTAATTATTATATGAGTTGACGACTTCTTCAAATGTGTCTAACCAAGGGTAGGCTCAACAGGTAGAACAGCGAACTACTACCACAAAGATGCGAGCTCAAACCTCGTCCAAGTCACATGTTTTTCATGTGCATAAAAACCATGTCAGGATTAATATTTCTGCTTTGTAGTAATTAATTCAAAACAATATGTTTAAAGGCAAAAAAAGCAAGATTATAGAAGAGTTTCAAGCTAAAGAGAACGCAAAAAAGCAAAATCAAAATCGTAAAAGTGAGGTGTACAAAGAGTGTAAGGGCGTTGTATAAATGACGTGCATATAGCTATTAATTTAAGTTTTGTCATTTACAAAGAATACATACGACAGTTTATAGGATAAGTATACAGGATAAGTTCAGAAAAACACACAGTTGATTACAATGTCTGTATAAAATTGTTCACATATGGAGCACGTTTTCTTACGTTCATGCAATAACGACTTCTTCAGAAGACTACCTCAATTATATATCTTGTTTATTTTTAACTAAAAAAATATGGCGTTTTTGTGACTATTAGACGGAATTTATTCAAAAATCTGTTGACTGGAAAGGAATTTTTTAAGGAAAACATTCAATGTGTTCATGTTTATTGAAATTTCTTTTGACAATTACAAAGTGATTATAACATCATTTAATTCCAACATTGTTTGTTAAAGTCTTTACTCTTTGCATTAAATAATGCAAAAAGAGCAAAAGAAATAAATGAACAATACATGATTACTAATCAAACTATACTTTTTCTCTGCAAATGAATTAACATAGCTATGTAAAGAGATTTGAAAATAGTTTTTAAATCAAGAAACACTTTATAAAAGGAAAGTCACAAGAAAGATATATTGTTCACTGTGAACAATTTTTTACTTATTTTGCTGATAAAACATATAAATGTTTAAATTACAAATTTTGAAGCAGAAAGTCACATACATTTTTACTATTTTTATCATGTATCATGCAAAGAGAAAAATCGTTTGTAGGAAATATAACTAAAAATAAAAATCACTTGTTGGAAGAAAAATTCTCACTTTGTAATGTGTTACTAAGATATTTAGCACCTTGAACACGTATACTGTTACTATCAATACTCAATTCAATAAGCTTACAATTCTCACTTTTCAAAGCTTCACTAAGAGATTTTGAACCTTCATCACCTATATTGTTATAATCAAGTGACAATACAGTAAGTTTACAATTCTCACTTTTCAAAGCTTCACTAAGATAATTTGCACCTTCATCACCCATATTGTTAATGAGGATATTTATTTCAGTAAGCTTACATCTCTTATTTTTCAAAGCTTCACCAAGATACATCACACCTGTAGCTGCTATTTTGTTATTACCAATATCCTATTTGATAAGTTTGCAATTCTAACTTTGAATGCTTTACAAAGTATTTAGCACCTGAACAGATGTACGTTTTGACACTAATCCTAACGCTCAAGACGCTGCTAGATCGTGGTTGCACTGGTTTGCTACTTTCCAAAATTTTGTAGCTGCTATACCCAACGAAGAAGTGAACAAACTAAAGGTTCTAGTCAATTATGTTTCTGCCGACGTTTATCAACTTTTCTGTGAAGCGCCAACCTACGAGGAAGCTATAGAATTGTTAAAAAATCTCTATGTTAAGGTTCCTAATGAGATATTTTCGCGACATAAGTTAGCTACTCGTAAACAACGCAGATAAAAAGGTGGCTTCAAAATGGCCTTTAGCCCAAGTATTGGAGTTAGCGTTCCAGTTAATATTACAGTTCACTGTTCTCACCTCAACTCGTGTTTTTGTGCTGCAGGTGGGAGGAGGAAAAACATCCGGAACGTAGAAAATGGCTCACACTAGAACACAAGGGGCCATACTTCCCACCGGAGTATGAACCTCTTCCTGGTGATATCAACTTTTACTAGAACGGTAAGAGCTTATGATCATAATTTTATAACATAGTGTTCATATTTATGATAAATATTTAACTTCTTAATGAATAAAATAACTTTATAGCATTCGTTTGTTTTCGGTTGTTATTCTTTAGGTGTGAAAATAGAACTTTCTCCCAAAAGTGAAGAGATTAGAATATATTGTTGCTATATTACTTAAAGAGTGTAGCTGCCATGGTAAATGGCGACTATAAGTTGAGTTACTCAGTAGTTAAAAAATGTGTCAAAGGTCATGCTTTACGCACTTTTTCGGCTTTTTTATGGGACCCTGTGCATCAGGAGTAGAAATAAAATGAACTAAACAGACTCCGCATTCTTTTCTCATATCCGAAAGCAATGCTGTTGAATTCCTAATGCATCTTAAATATGGATTCAGAAGAGAGTTGTGTACTTCACAAGTACAGTTCGGCTACCAACTACTTATGCAAAAAATACCAATTTACCAAACAATTAAGCAAAAGCATTACTGGTTACTGTTCAATTGAGCACACTTTCAAAAATATCCCTACGATAATATGTAACATAATTGGACAAAAAACTCTTGAATGCTACGTTAACAAGTAGCCATTGAAACCCAACCAATAGCACTCTCCACCCCCCCTCCTCCCACAAACCTACAAAACCATCGTGGATACATCTTCGATGTATCTCTACTATTTCGAGTTTCTTCTTCATCAGGTTGCAGGGTTTTACGCAAAGATGTTGGACCATGAATACACGTCGAAGAAAATTTTTAACGACAACTTTCAAGATTGGAGAAAAGAAATTACGCATGGGGAACGAGGGACGATTAAAGACCTTAGTAAATGTAATTTCAAAGAAATTAATGCTTATTATGTTCAGGTAATGATAGTTTTTCTTTTTGTTGTAACTAAGGAACTTTTGTGACCAAATTATTTTGAGCGGTGAGCTGACAGTTTTGATAAGTGGTAAGAAAGTTGACTGGAAGAGTGTCAACAGATGTCAGATCTTTGTCTACCATCCAAAATACTTTTCTTTTTAACTTGGACAATCAAAGAAGCAGCGCTTTTTATCTTATTGTTTTTGTTTGTTTTTTTTTTTTACTTCAACCATATCTTGATTGTAAAAGTTTTCGTGCTCTGTAATTTATTATATAATTCTGAATTTAAAACTTGCTGATTAAATACATTATCTCCCCAGATAAACTTGTGTTTTGTGAAGTATAGCGTCCACTCCCCCAGCTAAATTGTCAAACGGGCTACTGATCATTAGTTCGTGTTTTGTAAAACGAACACCCACTCACCCCTGATAATATTTAACTCCTATTGATTTCCGGGTGTTTGTGTCTATAGAAAACGAAAAAAGGAAAAACATGACTAAAGAGATGAAACAAGTCATCAAAGGGAAGAATGAAGAAATTTTACTGGAGTATGATGGATAATCATTGACAAAGAGTGGAGAATTTAAAGATTGAACCTCCCGGGCTTTTCCGAGGAAGAGGCGATCATCCGAAGAAGGGGAAACTGAAGAAAAGACTCCAGGCTAAAGATATCATCATTGATATTGGCAAGTTAGTGATTTAGATCATTTTTCGCGTTTGTTCGCTTAGAAGTATTCGAGCTTTTCAACTCTACGAAAAATCTAGATTGTCTTCTTAACTGGTAAACAGGGAAATTAGTATTTCGAAAATAACTTTTCAAATATTTTCTACACTGTAAAACTAACGCCGTCACGTCTCTTTTTAAGTAGAGATGCGAAAGTTCCCAATTCTCCTAACGGGCAAAGATGGAAAGCAGTTCAGCATGATAATAAAATGTGATGGTTGTTGATGACTGTGTACATTTCCTTACAAATTATGTTCGTTGAATATAAACATTGAGGGATATGTATAGACTTTGATTGACATGCAGTGTTGTTGTTCGGTATATATGGATCTACTTTAAATCTTGATAATAATTTTCGCAATATGATATTTCTCATCCATTTATTAGGTTACGTGGTTAGCATGTTGGATCGAAAATATCCAGGGAAGTTACTAGTACGTCATGTTAAATCCAACATCAAGGATCAAGGTGATTAATATGTGATAGTGAGTTGTGATGTGCAGAATGCAGATTTATTTAACTAGGAGCTGGTGTTGTTTTTGAACAAGTTAACAGCATTTTTATTTCTTTATTCCAGAGATGTTCTGTTGTATTTCATTGATAAAATAATGGTTTTCTTTGAACATTTTTTTCTGCTTTTGAACATTCTTTTACCATCCAGGTGTTTTATATTCCTCCATTAGCTTGCTCTTCGTGCTGGTCACGAGAAGGACGAAGATACCGCTGACACAGTGGGTTGCTGTTCACTAAGATATGAGCACATACGTATGCTCGTTTATTGTACATAATAAGATTCTCCTTGTTCGATCAGAATAGCTATTATAGTAAACAATCAAATTTGAGGCAAACCCACTCTTTTTCACACACACCTTCTGCATTTCAGCTTCTCGTGATGAGGTCAACGTGTTAAAATAATCTTTCTGTCTATTCATACATATTCGTTTCTTTGACACAGAAAAAAATATGCCGAAAGTTTTTTTATCGCACTTAAACGAAAGTGCTGACGCTTATTCTTCCTGTTTGTTGGTTGTTTACTAAATATAAATGTTTACTTAATCTTATAAGAAATACGAGAAAAAAAGTTGTGGAGCAGCTATAGTATATGGTTTGAAACTGATACTGTCTATGGTTTGTCGATGTTAGTGAAGTTCCGAGAAGAACTGTTGATGATAATTTTAGTAAACATCGTTTTGATCGCGTTAACTGGCAAATTTTATTTTAACGTGTGACTATCTCGAACAGTCAGTATTTTATCAATCTGGCGCATCAACTTTCTAAAACTTGAGCCATTTTTAACAAAAAAACATGTTTTAGTTACCATACCAAAAGCATCCATCTTTTTTTTTGTTGATATTTTTATTTTCTATTTTTAAGAGCTTCATAAACAACTCGAGGACAAAGAATACGTAATTGAGTTTGATTTTCTGGGTAAAGATTCCATTCATTATCACAACTTTGTACATGTTGAAAAAAAGGTAAAATTTAGTTGTGATGTAAGTTTAATGTTGTAAACATTTCTTATTTTGAGAAAATTGAAGAATGCGTTTGTGAGCCTTGATCATGCATATAGTTGGAAGTGTTAAGATAAGAATGTAGACATCAGAAACTGTTTGTAGCCTTTTCAGTTTACTTATTTTTGTGTTCAGTGATTCTAATATATAACTTCTCATGGGATTTCAGCATTTTACTTTACTTTCTAATGGTGTTTAGTCATTATAATTTACTTCGTATAAGTGTTTGCGATTCTAATTTATTTCTAATTAGTGTTCAGCAATTCTATTTTACTTTCTATACGTAGGTGTTCAAGAATTTAGAATTGTTTCAGCAAGGGAAAACTGACGGAGACGACCTGTTCGATAGGCTGACTGTGAGTTGGGAAGTTTAAAACTATTGTTTCAATTATTTGCTGTCGATTTACATTCAACATTCCCTAATTTATCTTTCAAATATCTGTAGAATGAATCTAACTCATAGTCTGTGTTCTTCCTCAGACAACATCATTAAACAAACATCTCTCAGATCTAATGGAAGGCCTCAGTGCCAAGGTCTTCCGTACATACAATGCATCAATGACCTTACAAGAACAGCTGGATAAACTTGAGTTGGAAGATAATGTTGCAGAAAGAGTATTGGGTTATAATCGCGCAAACAGAGCTGTCGCCATCTTATGTAACCATCAGTTGTAGTGTTGTGAACATGGACTGCATGAAAAATTTTGTGTTAAGACTTAAGAAAAAATTTTATGGTTGTGAAAAGTAAAATGCGAGGACAGTTAATTTTAGTTATGATCGTGTGTTAACTATGTTTGCAATTTACTTTAAAGCTTTACGTTCGTTCTCTCTTGTGTAGCGATCCGTTCCAAAGACGTTTGAACAATCCATGTCAAATCTTCAGCAAAAGGTAAAGTCTGCTTGTGGATATTCCGACTTAACGTGATAAACACGTGATATCATACGTCAACAAGTAAAATAAGTAGTTCAAATAATGTTTGTTGAAATAGATTGACGACAAGATAAAAGCCATAAATGATGGTAATGTTGAACTAAAGGATCTTAAACGTGAAGCTAAAGGAAGCGATTCAGTAACACTTGCAAAGTATGTGTCTTTAAAATACGACGCTAAAGAAACCACTAAACTTTAAAATTTTTTAAGATTCTCAAAATTAAACTCACCTTATGAGAATTCTGCAAATGGGACGAAGATATATTTTGTAATGTACCATATGTCCTACAAGATGATAAAACTTGTATTTCTGTGCATTAGTGTTGGAGTTGAGATGTTCGATGTCGTCATGAAGGATTTTAAACAACTGTTTTTTTTAAGGAAAATCGAAAGGAAGAAGGTCGCCATAGAACGTTTAAAGGAACAATTGTTTAAACTGGAAGTCTCACAAACAGATAAGGTATGTACGTTTTCGCTGTTACATGTTACAGAATTGGTTGAATTTGTTCTTTAAGTCAATTTGCTCTCTGATTTGCTACAAGTAAATGCATGCTTGGTGTGGCCAGATTCCGTGATTTTTATTACCAGATCCGTTCTGGTGAACTTAGACATCCACACCTGTTCAGCTTTACATAATTTCATATGATCGTATTAGCACAATACTAACTAAACATTACAACTGATATATTGTCAGAGTGGCGAAACATGGTTCTTATGCACAGCAGGACAGTAATGGCCAGTCGAGTTATGCGCCCAACATCGAATGCTTAATTTTTTGCGTATTTTGCTCATATTTTTAAACTTTGAAGTGGAAGAAAACGATCAGATCAGTCTTGAACTCAAGATGGTGCGATCGCCCTATAGACAACCACAAGTGTTCCTCTCGCTATACAAAGAAAATAACAAGGATTTCAACCTGGGATGGCGTGATCACCGCACCAGCAACTATACCACTCAGCCAGACGAGAAACATACCATCCCGTTGACAGTATGTCGAGTGAATGGGACAAAACAATACTGCCTTGTTTTATAACTGAGGTTAACAATTTATAGAGTAAACTTTGACTAATGCTTCTTCGCCATCATTGTACGGTTGAAGACATGCAGGAACTTACTTGGCCATTGACAGGGAAAAATGACATAGTTAGACAATTTAAATTGTAACTATAAGGAAGGAGAGCAATAAAGTATGTAAAATGTTTGGCATTGCCATGTGGTGTATCAAAAAAGTAACGCGTATGCTCATAGTAGATAAATCATAATGGCGTTTTTACTTTGTGAGCTAGGATTATTTAATTTGTCTGCTTAGACCTATCTCACATATGTTGTACTATCATACATAAGAGCATTGTAATGGCTTTTACAAAACACACAGTTCCGTAGAAACTGTTACCACATTTTTTACTTTGTAATCGTTACTTTAGCAAAAACTTATGCAAGTTTACCTAGGCGTACGACGTTGGATAAAAAATCCTCCACTTTTCTTGTGTCAAGTAATTCTCAGGTTTCAAGGCAATGTTGCCTCCCATGCGATAAGTTACGACCTTCTCAAATGTACTTCACTATTACATAACGAATTTTTTAAATGTCGTCTCTTATGACTGCATTTAACTACATCCGATTACATTTGACTACATTTGACAGCGCAGCATGCATTTTATGATTGTTGAAGAAACAAGTACCTGACGTGTGCTTAAGTAGCAAGCACCAAAGCGCTTTGTAGCTAACAATATCCACTTTCCAACGCCATTAAATTAACTACGAACTTGCGTGTTACTGTCTTGATTTACCACATAGCAATGTCAGACATTGTACTTTATTATTCGTCTTTGCTGTTACAATTTAAAGTCTAACAATGTCATATTTCTCTGTGAATGGAGAAGTAAGCTCCTGCTTTTATCTGTGCAATGATGGCGAAGAAGCATTACTTAAACTATACTGGAAATCGTTGGAGTAATGTACATCTATCATAATGAAAAACGGAATGAAATAACGACCGTGAAAGAAATTTTAAAAAGTGTTAGATCAATGTATAGTCATGTGATTCATGTATTCATGTGATAATGCAGTCAACTTTCTATCATGATGTCTTATACGTTCGACATAAAAAAATTCATAGACATAATGACAGCGATGCAACACACCATTAAATTGACAACGAAAATGTACATTGTCATTGTTTACAATACGACAATGCCATACACTGGGCATAATTTATTTGTCTTCTTTCAAGTTATGAAGTAAGTTATCTAAGAAAGCAATAGTTCTATACAGTGAGCGCCAAGTAAGTCCCTGTCTTCGGCTGTAAAAGGATTGTGACGAAGCATGCCTAAACATACAAAATCCTTAGTTATAAATGAACACAATAAATGTTATTTTGTGCATTTACTTTATAATTTTTACTCGGTTAACATGCCTCTCGGTACAGTGATCTAAATTTATCTGCTTTAAAACAAACTTTTTTCGATTCTTTCCAATGTTAAAAAATGGTAGTATTGTGAGTCAAAAGGCATGTTGTTATTTTTGACTAGAATGTGCGAGCTGTTGAAAACCGTACGAAGCTACGAGCCTTGCTTTATTGCCACAGTTTTCATATGGTCATTATCAGGGGCGGATCTAGAGTATGTCAAATCCGTCGTGCGACTGATGTTTGAAATTCAAAACTTACCTATTCATATTAATTAAAAATTCATTAATTATGCTTACTTTATTATCGAATTACTTCCTGATAAAAATCCAGCTTCATTTATTATTGAAAACTAATGACTAATGCAATGAATATCTCGTTGGTAACCAGATCAGTTGAATTTTAATTGACCTGGAATAACCGACTTATAAGAGGGGGGGCTTGACTGGTTCGTCTGATAAAGGAGTCTATGAACGCCAAAAACGCTTATTTCATTGGTCAATAGGCAGATCAGTGGACGACCTGGAATAATCTCGACCGATAAGCAGGGTGGTTATTTATCATAACCAGTACGCTGGACACATGAACCAATTTTAACATTCATGTAATTATATATTTAAAGACATGTTGGTTACATTCTGTTTGTATTTGCAAATACAATGCTACTAGTGATTGCTATAAAGCAAACCTTGCAGAAGATAATAGTCCAGTGAAATGCCTAATAAACATTTATGGCATTAAGCTAACTTTAACTGCAAATTGTCACTCTGATAATTTTTGCTTAATCTTTGGCAGAAAAAAATTTGAGTTTTTCTCAAAAGGTGAATTTTCTGGCACTGATGTGGAGATAGGTAAAGGGTTACAATAAGCTTGCATGGTTTGAAGTCTGAGCTTTTCTATATCTATGAACTGTCACTTGTAGTACCAAAATTTCTAACTTAACTCATTACATAGAGGTTCGAATGGGGGTCTATAGGGGGGTCTATGTCTGACAACTTGGTAGAAATTTTAAAGACTATATCTGTTTTAGAATAGCAATATTGTAAAATAAATTTACGTTCCTAGACATGCTAATGAGCCGTATATTTGGCATGATAATGAGCCTAAGTATTTGGCAAAACATTCAAGTATTGTTCACTTTATTTTTTAAAAAAAAACGTAAGCAGAATGTGTTGCTTTTACGCAAAAACAATGCCCACAAAATACCTTTTGTATTGCTCTAAAACTCTAAAATGGCATTTTCAAGGCTTTGAACTTCAAAATTTCTCAGGGGAGAATGCCTCAGACCCCCCCAGGTGCGGAGCGCCTCGACGTTTTATGAATGATGTTTGAAAAATCCTAGATCCGACCCAGATCACTATTGCTTTTGTCCTGTTAGACTTCCTTATTGTATTAGTTCAGCTACTGATGGACATTCAAATGCTTTGAGGAGGCGAGTGATTGGAAACCTGTTTTCAACTCTATTTTGCTTGACATTTATTTGTCGTATAGATGACTTGCTGTGTTCACGTTTTGCTGGCAGGCAGATTTGGTCAAGTGTTTTTAGGCAACACTAGTAACAATGCTTTACCTTCATTGCGATAAATATGCGAGACAGCTAAACGTAAACAAAGCAAGTCATCTCTGATCTTTTTTTGAAGTTAACCATCATCACGTGGCTTTTGAAATTCTCCATCATGCAAGTATGGTCATTTTGGGATTTTTCGTTTTTGAGGTTAGCTTTGATTGGGAATATTTGCAATCATTGAAGTCTTCGAGTATCTCTACTCATCAAGCTCAACCAGAAGCTCTACGCTTTTGACAAGCATTTTTTCGTCACAAACTCCATTTGCTACAAAAAATCTACTTGAATAAGTTTATTTTTTTCAGAGACAGCTGCATTTCAGTACTTCAATGCGGTTGATAATTTTTGTCTTTTTTTGATACTTAGGTCTTTGATGCTATTGTTGTCTGTGTTTCATTTGCATTAGATGTGGCATACAGGTATGGAAACCATTTGTGATACTTTATTATCACACAGATCACTCTTTTACAAGCAATGCTAATTCAATGCCATTGAGAGAGCTTTTCCCTCATGAAAAACTACATTATTTACAGCTCAAACAAAAAATACAAACATGGCTATAGAGTTTCCAGCTTATTTCATCTTTCAATTCTGATTAGTTAACCCTTAAAATAATCCCGATAGTGGTAGGCCCTAGAATGTGTTTGGATGCATCTAGCAACTAGTATGCACCCATGTATTATTGAGTGTAAGGTAGTAAAAGGCCCCTAGATATTACTGCAACTCCTCTAACACCCCCAGCTAGTAGTGTGCTATAATGTGTAATTGGCTTCCTAATTGTACCTGCTTAAAGTACTTATCTCACAATTTTTTTTTTGAATTTTCTGATTGAGGTAAAAAAATTATTGTAAAAGTTATTTTACAATTTTCTGATTGATGGCTTCGTTTATGAGATAAATGCGTTTCTTTTCTCAAAATCGGCAATAATGGAGAAAATTGCTGCGCGTTCAATTTGCTTGATGAGAGCCTGAATCGAGAAGTATGTGAAGTAACATAAGGACAGGAAGTTTTTCTGAAGTGTGACTTTTGCTATAATTTCTACTTTATTTACTACGGCTCTGCATCAAAATACCTGATAGATGTGCAGTTTTCGGCTATTCAAACCGAGCAAATTCTGCGGAAAGAATTTCTCTTCACCGTATACCATTTTACGGTGATGAGCGTCCTGAAGCGAAGCGAAGACGTAAAATCTGGGTGAATTTTGTTGCAAGAAAATGCGCTCAATGGACACCGACTAAGTATTGGGCTGTTTATTATTGTGATGGCAAAGAAATTTGGGCAAAGTTCAAATCTTTCCTGAGTCACATAGTAGACAAGCACACCAATTTGGATAATCCACTGTTTTCAAGTTGTTTTCATGGCCCTGGTATTAAACCAAGGGAATATTTGTTAGAAGGTTTGTGAAGGCATTATTTAAAGATAACTTCCCTAACAGTTTATCATCATTCTTTGTTGTAATGTTTAAGTTTCAGTTGCTCATGAAAAGCTTAGTGCTAAATTTTTAAACCCACAGCTGATAAAGTCAATTCACCAGGCTTCACCAGTTACTCAAACAAGTTGTTTGGAAATATTCCTTTCTGTCCTGAATCATTTTGCTCCAAAAATGATTCATTATTCCTATGTTGGAATGTATTGCAGGTGGGCGAAAATTTCCAATATGACAATGTAAGTTGTTGCTAAATGTGTTGCTTTGCATCATTTCATAGTATTGAATACGACAATAATTTCTTCTTAGAGTATGTGGATGAATTATTTGAGAGTGTGATGCTGTCAATAAAAGACAAAGACACATTATCAAATTCACAAAATCTTTTGAAAGAAATGTCCCCACCACCAATGAATGTCATGCTGCAAAAGCAACCCAGAGATGAGGTGTTACTAAAACAGGTCGGTTGAAAATGCATTGTGGTCAATGATGTCCCTCCCTCAATTCCAGGTAATTAATAATGATTATATAAGATGTTGTATCTAAACATGGTTTGAAAATCATTTTAAATAATAAAAATGTTTTTGTTTCATGCCAGCAGCTACCAGTGTGCCATTCAGCTGTCAGTCAAATGTGGCAGTTTCAAAAGAAAAAAGTCAGCCAAAATGTTTGACATGCAAGAAGCCAATGAAAGGACACAAACATGTGGCAGAGTGCCCAAAAAATAGGAAAACTTAATTTTCACATCACTCATTTATTTCATTTTTTTCGTACCCTCTAAATTCCAACTTTTTATCATTAAATTTTGATCTTATTGCATGGTATGCACATGCTGGTATGGGTCTTCTTTCTTCTCTTAAGCATCCATAAATCATAGATGTGAATTCTCTGTATGCAACACATCGTAAAAACCTGAATATAAAGCCAAATCATTACTAATGTGTCATAACACTAAAATATACTTAAATACTGGGAAATAACATAATATGCTATCATACATGTTTTCAGATCCTGTTTCTCTGTATCGTCTTTGTTCTCTGGTTTTGTATTTCCTAGCAGCCATTTTTAGCGACCACTTCTCCAAACAAACTGGTCTGAAACCTGGGTGTAGAGTGACACAACATGGAATAGTTGACAGATCTGCCAGAACCGACTGGTGTGTTAAGCTTTCAGCTACAGACTTTAGTTCTTGGCAGCACCAGGCCTCTAGAGGATTCTGAAGAAGTGTAACTTGACAAAAACCACACTTGCACCTGATCAATAAAGAAAATCACATTAAAAAATTGTAATCGAGCATCTTTTAACAATTTTTTATCCAAAAGTAAATAAAAAAAGCGATGGTAATCTTGAATAGAAAATTGCACGTTTATGTCTATATTTCATAACTTGAAACCTGAATTGAAATACATTTCATAAGTTGAATTAAAATTAGAAATTTTATTACTCACCAAGAACTCAACTCAACTGTGTGATCAAGTCTTTTTTGTAGCATTTCAAGTTGCTTTTTATGTTCATTTGACTTTTCCACGTAGTCTTCATACCATGCTTGTTCGGCCATTGGTTCATCAGCGTTTAGATAGGACTCGGACTCGCCGTGATTTTCATCTATTATATTATATTCCTAGTCATTAATGTTCCTTGTTTCATCTTCGATGACATAACCGGGAATATAATCATACTCCGAATCACATTGCGAACTATAAGAGCTTTCCGAATCAGAATTCAACTCCGCCATCTAATTGTTGATAACAAGCGCTTGACTTGTTCCTTAAGTTACGTCACAGAGACTTGATCCAGGCCCTATGCCAATTATCAACTTTTACTGTCAAATTTCATATTTGATCAATAATAATTCGAAAACAATGCAGCGCATGAAAAAATTGTAATATAAGTTTTAGATTACTTTTGAAGAAGCAATACGAAAATTCGAAAAAAAAAATTGTGAGATAAGCACTTTAAATAAAGTATTTTTTTCTGTGATAATGCTGATGTACAGGAAGCTGCTGGTCTTCTCATCTTCGTACGGCATTGGAAAATAGTCATTATTATAAACGGTCATTATTATTTTTGATTATCTTCAGGAAGCTGCATTTGTTGATTCTGTTTTCGTTAACAAAGAGTTTTTTTGATTTCCTAAAGTACTTGGTTGTTTAAAAGATCGCTCTATCTGTGAAAATTGAAATGGACCACAGAATATATAAATTCAAAGAAGAAATAGATCACTTGAAAATGCAAGTGTACAACTACAAGCTGAAATGTGAAGAACAAGAGGTACCGAACAAAATCTTTTTATTATCATTACTTGGATGATTGTCTTCTAAAAGATTCCTTTTGATATATTTGACTTATGAAGTGGTTAGAAACAAGACTTACAATCTTGTTTCTATGTATTTTAATTATTGGTTTTTTTTCTTTTACAGAAAGAGATGACCAAGCTTCAAATTGAACTTCAAAAAGATAAGAAAATATCAGTAAATCTTGACCAACCAAAACCTGATGATATATAATTAAAACACTATAAATATTTTCATTTTCATATAATACGTACATGCAATAAACTTATATTAAAGATGACTAATTTTTTAGAAGAATTTTTGTTGTCAGTCACACTTATATAGAAATGTATGAAAACTACATTTTAGTACAATGATGACCTTCAAAGAGGTTTTGTCTTAAACTTTCTACTCTTCGAATGATTTGTATGATTAATAGTGCGAATACGTTTATAAATATTTCGATTCAAAAGGACTTTTTACTGAGTACTTTCGTTTGTTCATGATTATTACTTAGATTTCACAAGATAATCAAGTAGTGACAACATCATTAAAGTTTATCATTGTTTGTTACAGTTCTTACTCTTTACAATAAATGTTGTATATATTAACAAAACAGTTGAGCAATATTAAAAAATGTTGTATAGGTTAACAAAACAGTTGAACAATATTAAAAAAAAACAAATAAATTAACAAATATGTTTACAAATCAAACTATACTTTTACTCTAAACATTAAATTAACATATAGCTAAGTAGACACATTTCAAAATTGTTTTTAAATCAAGGAACGTTTATATAAAAGGAAAGTCCAAGATGTATAAATTTTTTACTTACTTTTTCATAAAACATATGAAAGTTTATATAATAAACTTTAAATCAGGAAGTGGATTGGTTATAGATATGCATTAAGAGTTAGAGCTCGAATCCGAGTCAAAGTACTGTTCAATAAGTTAACACTTCTCCCTTTTCAATGCTTAACTAAGATATCTGAAACCTTCATCACCTAAATTTTTACCATTAACATACAATTCAGTAAGTGTACAATTCTCACTTTTCAATCCTTCACTAATATATTTAGCACCTTCATCACCTATAGTGTTACTATTAAGATACAAATTAGTAAGTTTACAATTCGCACTTTTCAATGCTTCACTAAGACATCTAGCACCTTCATCACCTATATTGTTACCCGCAATATACAATTTAGTTAGTTTACAATTTTCACTTTTCAATGCTTTACTAAGACATCTAGCACCTTCATCACCTATATTGTTACCTGCAATATGCAATTCAGTAAGTCTACAATTCTCACTTTTCAATCCTTCACTAAGATATTTAGCACCTTCATCACCTATAGTGTTACTATTAAAATACAAATTAGTAAGTTTACAATTCTCACTTTTCAATGCTTCACTAAGACATCTAGCACCTTCATCACCTATATTGTTACCCGCAATATGCAATTTAGTAAGTCTACTATTCCCACTTTTCAATCCTTCACTAAGATATTTAGCACCTTCATCACCTATAGTGTTACTATCAAAATACAATTTAGTAAGTCTACAATTCTCACTTTTCAATCCTTCAGTAAGATATTTAGCACCTTCATCACCTATAGTGTTACTATTAAGATACAAATTAGTAAGTTTACATTTCTCACTTTTCAATGCTTCACTAAGACATCTAGCACCTTCATCACCTATATTGTTACCCGCAATATGCAATTCAGTAAGTTTACAATTCTCAGTTTTTAATGCTTCACTAAGATATTTAGCACCTTCATTACCTATAGTGATACAAAATATATACAATTTAGTTAGTTTACAATTTTCACTTTTCAATGCTTCACTAAGATATTTAGCACCTTCATCATCTATATTGCTGTCTGACATTTCCAACTTAGTAAGTTTACAATTCTCACTTTTCAATGCTTCACTTAGATGCTTCGAAAAATAATTGCCTAAAGCACACATATAAAAACTTAAACGAATCAAATTTTTCGCTCCCTTATTTAACAAATAGTTTTTTATCGGAAGACAGCTATGATTATCAAGAAACTTGCAATCATGAAAAAAAAGACCTTTTATGTGTTCACATTGAGGAAGAAATTCAAACAATGCGTTTGAATCAACAGGCGTAAAAGAAACTCCATCAATTTTCGTTTGTTGAGAAAAATTCTTTAACTCTGTGCAAGCTGACCTTATGACATCTTTGTCCTGCAACTCGTATAGGCACTTTACTCCAAGAAAACCAAGAACTTTATCTCCAGTGTGTGAAAATATGTTTGAAATCCAGTTTTTAAGTCTACAAATTTAAAACAGAATGTTATTTTCAAGCAGGTTTTTTTGTTTAACAAAAGGTCGTAGGCTATGTAGCTAATGTTGCATGAGATGAATTCGATTTTCTAATGTAACAATTCAAAGTCCGTTTTAAACATCGCAATTTACATCTACTAAATGCATTCGAAATAGAAATGATGAAAAAAATCCTCATTTTCTTTTGTTCGAAACTCACGGCCTAAAAATCTGAAGCAATCATTTAGTAAACAAGTAAAGGATTAAAGTAGCCAGTAAAATTTTAAAAAACAAATTTTGTTCAACATATGGCGTGTTACAATGGAACTTTAGTATTTAAAAATAAATTGTTTTCTATAAAAATCATGGACACCGGTCTGACCAACTGAGCTATGAAGTCACACAGTTGTGAGCACGTCAATTTTGTTGGGTTCATGTTTTCTCATGAAAGGAATGTCATATGAAGAATGTTTTATGCACCGGAGAGAGAGAGAGGCTTTGACAAAAAGCACCGGAGAGAGAGAGAGGCTTTTTATGCACCGGAGAGAGGCTTTGATAAAAAGGCTTTCGGTTGAAAAAAAATTGAAGAGGATGCGCGTATTATATCTCTATACATTAATTAAACTTTTGATTTTTGAAATCTATATATATTTTTATCTTATATTGTTATTTAATGACTTAAAATTCTATTGTAAAAATATAAAATACAAACGTAATAAGCAGCATTTTAAAGTTCAAAGCTCATCGTCTTTGTCGCTTGTTTGGTGAGATGCATCATCAGAAAAATTGGCCCAGTTTGAGCATTTACAGTGTCCACAAAAACTGAACATTGTAATCCATGCTTTCGGACCGAGCATTTGAGTGTATCACATCCATTTTTGCAGTTACTGCGTATGATCTGCAAAAGGCTGTTTGCTGCTGCTGGAGGATTAGTCATTAGTGGAGTCAGTGTAGTTTCTCTTAACTTCCAACCCCATTTTTCAGCATCAATTTTGTTTTCTCACCAAAGCTGAACTTGACCGAACATGCGGTAACTGTGATATTTTGTAGCTGCAGACGTCAGAGAAAGTTTTTCGGCTTGATTTTTCTTCTCTTATGAGCTATATTTTCTTGGTAACGTATGTATTGCAGGTTGTGTATACTCTGTCCTACGTTCCATTGTACAGTATGACAAGTGCATGAAAATGTCAAAGCAATCAAATTCAACGTAGAAGATAAAAAAATATAGGTCAGTGTCATCTCTAAAAAGCATGGTAGATATTGATTTAGCAGAGTCAATTGTTGTTTTATCAATTAGTAAATCAGGGTCACCATTTGCATGATGTGTCTTGCAACCTTGTTCTCTTAGATAGCAACTTCAAGAAATATCTGCTTGTTCTTTTGGTTTGATAGGAAGAGATCTATTTTGAGACTAATCTTCATTTCTTCATTTAAAGATATCATTGGACCCGTCTTTCCTAATGACCTTCTCATCTGCGTCATCTGCTTGGTAGATGTGCTGTCTATACCCGTCAATTACAATAAAGGCTTTTCCATAGTTTTTGCTACGTAATGACAATATGAAATACATACTTCTCTGTAGGTTGCAGACGCTGGAGATGGCCAAGCTATTCTGTGCAAAAGTGCTCCCCTGTCTAAAACATATTGCCAGTCTTTTTCACTAACTGGGCTTTCTGCTTGGGTTTCATGAGAAAGTCTAGACCAAATGACATCAGCCAAAGCAGGCTAGTTAGATTGCAATAACATCAAAGAAGAATAAAAAAAAGGAAGAAGGATACGTATACATTTCATAGCGGAAGAGTGATAGGAGATCAACTTGTACCTACATATCACATATATTTACAGCAGATTTTGTTGCCAAAGTTACAGCATGGTTTTTTCTTTCGAACTGGTACTCGAAAAGCGACCCATCCTTCATTAAAGAAAGAATCTTTTTTCTTACAGTCTTTGCTATTATCCATTGACTCCAATTATGATATTTAATTCTTAATTGTGGGTCTCAAGAAAATGCTTTGTGCCCTTAAAGGCAGTAAAGACTTTAAGAGTATTCTTTTTCTCTCTCTCTCTTTTCTTGCATGACTAACATCTTTATCCTGTTCACCAGAACTATAGTTTATAACTGTGTACTCTAGCCTTAACCGACTGACTTCAGCATTGACAGGCCACGCCAGAAGCCATGTAAGCCGTTAATGCTTGGTAATACCTCACCCCCTTGTTAAAACACTGCTTAAGTTACGCCCAAGTTACGCATCAACATTTGTTCGATGATAAGGTATGTCGGGAAACCTGCCAGTATCTATTACTTCGTCTGACAACATTTAGCCCTGAATTAAAGCTTCCGTACACTTCAGGTTTATCTTCCTCCAGATAATTCGTTGTTTAATGATGTAAACTTGCACATTTAACGTACAGATTGTGCAAAGGTGCAGAAGAAAGGGAAGCATCTTGCCGATATACTGTAATCACAGATGCCACTTGCCTAATCACTCTGCTGTGACGAAAGCTCTAAGAATATTAACCATTTTCATATATTGTAGCCATACTGCTGAGGTACGTCTGCGCTCTTTGAGTACTGTTTTAGTTCTGATTACGTGTTGTGCAATCTATCCACAGTTCACTAGATTCCACTTCTTCACTTGAAATCTTTTTGTCCAGTGGCAGCTCAAAAAGAGAATGCGCTTCTGATAAAGTTTTGCCACCTGTTTTCAAAGTATAATTTAATAAAGATAAAACATTGCATCTAACTTTTAATTTTTCATACCAACCGAAAACGTCTATTTTACATCAATTTTCATGCTCTGAGCAGGAAATTTCTGAATCAAATCTTGCATTAATCATTTCACTTTTAATGCTCATTGCGTTGCTATATAAGAAGCCAAGAAACCTTTTCAATAAAATTTTGCAACAAACCAGTGTTCCTTAATTCAAAAATGAATTTGCGTCTAGGCCTTTTGTCTCCTCAAATTGTATTTTGCCCCACTCCTTGCTTGAGCTTTCTGTGACTTCTTGATTATTTTCATTGTCATTGAGAGAAACGTTATATTCTAAAATATTACATGATTACAATAATGCTACCTATATTATGGAAAACTGAATCAAAGCAATTTGTGCTCTGTAAAAGTTACGACCAAAGTTCATTTTAATTGATTTTTAATTTTTTTTCTAGTTGCTAGCCAAGTGCTTGCTTGATTCTAAAGTGAAGATTGTGTTGCAAATGACTTGTACTGTGTATTATTTCATCCAAAGACCAATAGGGCTTGTATTTTTAACAATGAAGTTATTTAATTTTTAAATGAAATTTACAGACTGGTTTCATGTATTCTATATTCTGTACATTCCACTGCATAAAATACACACATTTTAAAATTTAAATTGTTCTAAAAGTAGTTCTAAGAGATAGCAAACACCATAGTAAACGCCACGATGCATTTCGGCAGACTACTCCTTAGGTGTCAACGTCTGCTAAATGAAAATTTACAATTTACCAATATTTATAATGCCAAGAGAGAGTGTACGTCATTTCCAAAAGATGAGATGACGCTCAAAACAGGAATAAATTAAAAAATAGTCCTTTTGTCGGCAGAGGACGGGATTGGTTAACTTAATTAGAACAGCCTCCATGACACGTAACTGAAAAAATGAATGGCATTTTTTCATGATTCTAAAATTGTCGTCTGAATAAGAGTCAGCACAATGGGAGTTATTCAAGAGATGTTTACCTATCGTGGAGTCACATGAAACGAAATTACTTTTCTTACAATCCCGTTTTGGTTGTTGTCTTGAGGGGACTGATTGAAGTTGGTACATTTCTGGTTGAACTTGGTACATGCTGTTTGATCCTATCACCCAACCTTTGAGACGTTCAAACTACATAGCGAGCATCACACTCACATTTATATTCATAAATTACATTGCTTAAAAGTTGTTCCGGTTAAGATTCTTTTGGAGTGGGTGGTAGAATAGTTCTTTTCTAAATTATAAAGATAACATTGCACGCAAAAACAAATTCACTGTAATATTCTTAGTTTCCCTTTCAATATCATCAAAAGCCTTAACCATCTTTAGAAGTTTGATAAGCAAAGGGCACTTAGCTGGTCCAAAAGGCCTGTTCTGCTTATTTTATATGGATGAGAAAAGTTTAGCAAGCATTATTTCCACATCTTTTCTCATCCACAATGTAATGGCAGCCGTTAAATTTTCTGTATGCGCAAAGCAAACTGCGCGACATACTTACATCAACGGTTACCGACACAAGTTGCCCTTCTATGTATTCTCTATTCAATGTTCTCGTTTAAATTTTTAGATTTTTACACTGACCAATCATTGATGTTTTTGAAGCTGAGCCATGGAAAGCAGGGGCGAAACTTAAACGTGAAGTGGGGAATATTGGTTTATTCAGCTCTGCCCTGCTGATTTTTTGAAATTATAATCGCTAACAAAACAAATCAGTCAAGCAGTTATAATATATAAATATAAACCCCCCCCCCTTAACGTTCTAGTTTCGCTCATGACAGAGAGAGAGTTTTTTCTAACAGAAAAACTGAAAGACTATATATGTGCAATAACTTTAGGAAAATCCAAGTGATGTGGAGACTTTTGTGAGAATGTCAGTCATAAAGTAAATGGTTTGAACCCGGGAGTATCGTTACATGCTTGTAAATGATGATCGTACAGGTTAATAAAGTCCTGAGAAGGACTGTTTTTGTTGTTCTTGACTGACGTTTCGACACCTTAAGCCCGCCGCACACATGAGCTATTGGCAGAGCTTATAAATCCAACGAACCCAACGAAACGAACAACTCAGTGACAACAGCAACGATACCTTATATCAAAGGTACGTATGAGACTATCTCGCGTATCTTACGACCATACAACATACGTGTCGCACATAAACCAATCACAACGTTAAGACAAGTACTAACGAACATAAAGGACAAAGAACAACCCAACGAACGACAAGGTGCAGTTTACAAAATAAACTGCTCCGACTGCCACGCCTCCTATATCGGGGAAACTGGCAGGAACAAGAACATAAGACTTACTGAACACAAACGAGCTACTAACAAACAAGACAAAACTAATCACATTGCCGAACATCACCGAATCACAAAGCACAACATTGACTGGGACTCGGCAAAATGCATCACTTACAGTACTGACTATAGACAACGGCTTACATTGGAAAGTTGGTATACCAACTTGGAACGGACCCCCCTGAACAGATCACAGCAATTACCGGCACCTTACAAACGATATATTCACAATACAAACAAACGATCAACTACAAACATTACACTTCACACTAATTCACAATGACAATACACAAATTACACCCAAACATTACAACTAAAAACATCACACCTAAATCACACATCACAACTAAAAATAAACTATTTCTCTTCACACTAATCCACAATGACAATACACATTTCCTGTACACACAATACAATGACGTAAGAACCAGATAACAAATACGGCTAACCTGACGTTTACTCCTCATTTGACTCTGAAGATGACTAACGCTAAGGTTGTCGAAACGTCAGTCAACAACAACAAAAACAGTCCTTCTCTGGACTTTATTAACCTGGACGATCATCATTTACAAACATGTAATGTCAGTCATGTTATAAGGCCTAAAATCAATCTCTTATTTATCAAAGTATGTGATTTTTGGCTTGCAACCATCTGGCTACGCACGCAAATTTAAAAAACTTCAAAAATTCTTTTGGAAATTTTTTTAAATACATATAGCTTGGGTACTCTTTAGCAAACAGATGAGAACTCGTAATTAACAGTGTGGCAATAACTACAGCATATTGCAAAATAGTTTTTAGTAATTGTTTTCATTTCAGTTCTTCTTGTGCAGCTAGTGTTGATTATTGTTTTTATGATGGTGTGATGAATTGTTGTATGTAGCTAGTACAAAAAAATATCTCGTTTTTTTTTGTAAAAATTGCTTTGACGATGTATTTTGTACATACGATAGCAAGACTTCCGTGCATTCCAGACCTATTTAGACAAAATGAAAAACCCACACTTATATGATTTGGTCAAAATGTAAAAACTATTAATTAACTTCTTCACATTAACTGCCAAATATCTTAAACTAGCTTTTTGCTCTTGCTTTTATCTTAGTTCTCCCCAGGTGTCGTGATCTTTGTTTAGAGAATGAAAAGATAAATTGCTGTATGTAGTGTTCAGAAAATTTATTGCTTCTTTGCAAAAATGCTTGGAGAATGAACTTCATATGTATATGTCACCAAATATAATTGTACTTCCCCTGTTTTATATTATTATTATTGCGATTTTTATTGTTGTTATGAATTTTAAATTGTGGTATTTATAAAAGTGCTCGACAAATTTAAATAAACAATTTTAAACTTTGTATCGCGAATGCACCTCGCGCTATAAATTAAGTAAAATGCCTTAGCCCTTATACTTTCTTTAAATTGCGGCATCAATGATAACGGAGTTAGATTGAAAGAGCGAATTTAGTAAAAAAATGCAGAAAATTTGTTTTTAAACAGACAGACGCTTATGCAACTCAGCGACATTTTCAAAACTGTAACAATACTGTGCAGAAGTGCATTAAGTTATGCCATGTATAAATATGTGCCAGCTTTATATAAAACTGCTGCGATTTTTTATAACAATCCAGCAACAACTCTGTGCCTATGTAGTAAACGTAGTTAGTGTTCCTGCGCTTCCTGTTCAGCAGGACTAAGAACAGTGTAAACAAAACTCATCGAAGACAATAACCTAAACTTCACTAGAAACGAAAATAAATACCCTACCGTTCTTCAACATCTTCTATTGTTTTAGTATCTCTTATGCTGCCAGATTTCTTCATGTCTCCAATTAAACCAGCAACAAACTGTATCACCAAATGCCATTTAGGATCAGACGCATTATTATCCAAAAATTGTGGAATTTTGCTCCATTCGTCTACAATACATTGCGCAGCAAGAAACTCTTGAATGGTCAAATGTAGGAAACAGTACTGTAAGCGTGATGCATCTGGTATACGGTGAAATATACCACAATTTGCTACCTCATGAAAAGCACTATTACTTCTTTTTTCAAAAATCAAATTTCCTTCTTTAATTCCACGAACTGCAATATCTTTTATTTTGTCTATATCTTTCTTAAGCTTCGGCGGCAAAGGAATTATAAGATAATCATTTTCTCTTGGTATTTCACCTGACGTGCAAAGTGGATGATGCTTCCATAGCAAGACTTTGATTGCTCTGTTATATAACTCAGTGATGGTCTTTGGAATATCTTCAGCCTTACATGTCAAGCACTCTTTTAGGGTCAGACAAACAATGTAGCTATTCACAGGAATATAACACAAACTTTTAAGTTCAAGAGAAGAATCAATGTGCTCATAAATACTTTTGGCTGTATTCTCGTCTTTATTGCAAAACTTGTCAACATATTCTTTAATCTGATCTTCGAAAAAGCCCAAGATTTCCACAGTCCTGTCAAACTTTAAACATCCATATGCATCTTCAGCTGTGGGTCGTGATGTTACTAGAACAATGGCATCAGACAGCGTTTCACCTTCAACTAACTTTTTTATTAGTTTAAATACAGGGTTCTTTGTTTTATGGAGCTCTGAACGATTTAAAAATAATTCATCGAGTCCGTCGATTATAATGACAGTTTGTTTTGGATAAGTGATCATGAATTCGTAAACTTGAGAATAATGTTTATCTTTTAGTCCATCACACCGCTTTAACATTTCTTCGAGAGTATTGTCGCGAGTTTCAAGATCACGACATTTCACTAAAATAACAAGTTTATCTTGCCAAAATTCGTCTCGATTATTTTTCCATTCGTATATAAGTTTTTTAGTCAGCATAGTTTTACCAATACCCGGCCTTCCAATGACTAAAATAGAGCTTGGATACGACGTGCTCTGCTCACCGAGGATTGGCTTAAAAATCTCAGTTACTCTTGTTAGTTTTTTTGCATCATTCCTCATTTCGAGGTAAGAATGAAAGATTTCATGCCGATTAAAAGTTTCTGGGTAAGCATTCTTTACCTGTCTCTCTGCTTGTAGTATGACGTTGACATAAATATTATCAAGATTTCGCCACTCTTTGAACTCATCACCAAAGTTGTCGTGTATTACAAACACACTGTTTGAGTAAAGATCGTTTATATTTTCCTCCAACCATTTTTTAGGTTTTTGAAGCAGTACAAAATTCAAGTAAACTGTAAAAAATTCATCCTCTTTTTTAAAATACTTATCAGTCAAAGCCTTATACGTCAAGTAACACAGCTCTGAAATTGTTAGTGTTATTACAAAGAAATCGACAGATAAAACAGCATTAATGACGATTTCACTTTTATCAGCATTGGGATTTTCACAATCAATGGTAGAAATGGTTTGATGTAACAAGGAAATTTCTTTCATAGTTGGACGTCTTTTACAAGAGTATTTGATTGGAAACTTGGCATAGAAAAGTAATCCAATGAAGACAGACAATATGATGAGGCGAATCATCAAATGAACGATGTATATGTAAAATAAAGAAAAATTAAATGCAACGTTGTCAGATTGATGAGTTCCTTCGCTATATTCCCCAAGTAGAGGCTCACTTTGCTCGTTACTGTTTTCTTTTGGACTGTCATTATCATTATGTTCAACTCGACGCTTTACATAATATCCATAGACGATACTCCAAAATAAGACAATGCCAAAATTTAAAACTACCATAAGAAAAACAACATACTTAAAAGTTAAACCATCTTTGTATTGTCTGAAACATCTTGATTCAATGCTCTTTAAAAAAGAGCTTTCTTTCGTCTTTGATATGATCTCATTATGACAATTAAATGAACTATCAAAATATAAAATTAGTGAAATACTAGAAACAAAGATGCCAGCTGTACCAAAGAAAATCAATATTACTCTTCCAAACCAGTTAAAACTGCTCCATGGTATGTATTCAAGACACTTTTCCATTTGTATTCTTAAAAATAAGTATTAAATCGTCACATTACTTTGAATTCAAAACAAGACGCTAGCATTGGCGTTCAGTATCGTAGCCAGTTTGCAGATTTACTTCCGCTATGAAAATTTTGAAAGATTACCATTATTCATTTCTTTAAAAATCTACTGTTTTCATAGTCAGTGAGCACTAAAATATTTGCATAGCGAGAGTACAACGTTCGGCTGGCTACGACGCTACTGCTGGCGTTACCTATAGCTCTAGGTACAAAGTCGCATTGTATATACTTCATACAATAATCTATTTTGTGCCTAAATGACTATATTGCATTAAGATATAAATTAATTTTAGTAGACACATCTGATAATCAGATGTGTCTAATAAGTGTTGTTTTGTAATTAAATAAAGTGTACAATTGTGTTCTTTCGCTGTTGCGTATAACCAGCTAGAGCACTGAAGGAGGAAGGATATTCATGTACGTGTGCTCTACAATAATAAATTCTTTTACAAAGGTAGCTAGGACTCTGCGTTGGCCTCATAATTAATTTTACGTAATTGTGCCTCAGGCTACTGGTATTGGGTTAAATATCAAACAATTTGCTCTTTGTTTATGTAATAGCGTGGTTTTGAGTGCAATTTGGCATAAACATACACGAATGAGTTTTTCAAAGACTGCCATGCTCTTAACCAATCAGAATCGAGAACTTTTGCTCTCTATGTATACGCTTTTTTCAGACTGATTAAGCCGGTTTTCCACTTGCAAATTTTGGCGCCCAAAGCGATAATTTTCGAGTTGAAAAATTTCGTGCGACTGTGTATATTTGCTTTCTGCGTGTAACAATTAACTTAAAAAATGCAAAAAATCAATGCAAACTGGCTGAATCAAACAGTAACTACTTTACTACTTCGGAATAACGTGTTATGATTCCCATTGCAGCAAAGACGACCATAGCGACAAAGCAAACACAACAGTGGTTTTTTGTACGTCGTTTGTATGTTGTAACGGTAATGAAAAGAAGAATTTCATCTGCTCGTGAGAGAGCTTAGTATTTACGACATATAATATGCTTCCATAAGCATCGTTTGCTTCGTATTTCGTCCAAGCAATTGCTTTTTCAAACTTCTGTAAAGCATATTTGAGCGATGATATGGAAATTTGATCATTTCTTAAGCAAAAAACTCCCAACGTCCACCATTTTAAAAAGTACGGCAGACAAACGTGCATGCAAAAATCAAAAACCACTAAAAAATCTGATTGGCTATCAAATTATTTTGGCTGCGAAAAATTAAAAATCATAAGAACTCAAATTTTCGTGGAGGCGTGATGACGGCTTTGCCATTTGCATTGCGGTTAACAGTTCATGTTTTAAAAGCAGGAGGCCTTTTTGTTGTAAGTAAAGCCCCGCGTGCTTTTTAGTATATTTCTATTACAACAAAGTGACTTTTGTGACGCAATGTAATTATTTTAAGTGAGTATAAATCTGAATATGCCAATTAAGCTATCAACGGAGTTTTAATAAAACATGATACAGCTCCTGACAATGCAAATTGTAAAATACAAATTCAAATTAACGTGTTAAATTCGATGTTTTCTAAGCAACAAACTTCAATGGCAAACGGATAATTTGGATTGCCGTTTGCCGCAAATGCTAAACTAAAACTTTCTATTTGCGCAATACAAACAGCAATAAGAAAAGTACAAATATCATTAGAATATAATGCCCAATTCGACACGAGTTACAAGAAATCGTAATTTGAGCATAATTGAGAGAAGTGCAAGTCTTAAGGCCTGAAAGAAAGAGACGGCAAACTATACAAGATAATGGAAAACGTTTAGTCAGAGATACGGAGATGAAACTCCGAATGAGAATTTTATCTCCGTAAAAATCAGATAGTTTGTTTAATTAGAACTCAGGGAGTTGCTCTATTTTGCGTATGTTATATTTTTTGTTGGAATAAACATCCTCACAAATTCTTAAAAAGATTTACCGAAGGAAAAACAAAAATGTCTTCAATAAAGTCAACCTGGACGGGCGTTTATGTAAAAAAATCCACTCGACATGAACACAATATGCGCATTCATAATGTCAATAGTTCCCTACTTCCTAACTGAATGTAGCCTCCTCAAAACATTTGGCAGCCAAATTCACTTGCGCAATTTATAATTTGCGTTGATACGTGGCAAATTATTTCGTTTCACGGAATTTAAATCATTTTCAGAATATATTCTAATTGTTATCAAAACAGAGAAAAGCTTATAATTTTGGTTTTTGTTTATGTATTTACAATTGTATTGTTACATAATGTAAGGAGCAAGCTTACTATACACAACTCTTAGCATTTTATGGGAAAAATTAAATGTATTATATTTTCTCTCGGGTATGTGTATACTCGTACAGGAGTACGAAAAACGATAATTGAGCGGGGGACGTGGAGGAAGCACATATTCATATATGCATGTTATAATCTGTAGAAAACAATGAATTTAAAATACGGCATGTTATGCTTGTATGAATATTCTCCACAATTTACGATCTTTCTACGCCCATGCATCATGTTGTGATGTTTTTGCATTGATTCAAGATTTCTTAAATAAACATTACGAAGCGTTTTCCTTTCACTTCACCTTACGGTTGACCTATGTGTTACGTTTTAATAGGCAACTCAATCTTACGAAATATGGAATTCAAAAACAAAATCTAATTGTATCACACAAGAGAAAAAAGTTTTGAAAAAGACATCACCCAACGTCAAGTAGCATGCAGCAGAATTTCACGAAGCTTATGTTGTAAATTTTAATGTCAAATTATGTAGCGAGTGACTGTGTCTTATTATAGATCATAAGATATAACTGATCTTACTAAATTGATGTAAAAGACTTTAGTCATGTTAAAAGAGCGCTTCCTCACCGCAATGCGTCATTGCGGTAGGATGTAGGTAGAAACGAAATGGCAAAGTTGTAAGTCATATGTAAACGCCTAAAACCATTTTCGTATTTATGTATTTCATATTTATGTATAATTATACCTAAATATAGCTTGCAAGCGTTGGTTTGGAGTTAGAAAAAGTCGACGTTAGTGGTGTATGAAATGGCCATACAAATTTGATAAATTAGCAGTCGTATTGCAGAAGGCAATAAAGTTCGAAAACGCAGTTTAAGGATTGACTGTTGTCCGTAATCTTAACGAGATCAATTAAATTATTCCGTATTGCGAAGAATCAACGCTTGGTACTCCGTGACGTAAAAATCGTGCACAACCGCTGTAAGTATCATACCAAAGTGTTAAGTATAATTGTCAAAATACAGTCCCATCGTTCGAGTGAAGTTTGAGAACAGTGAACCAGCACTTCACACTGATTGTGCGAAACGTGGTCCTTCCAGCGGGATCTAGTAGCAGTATTCAAGAAGAACATATAAATGGGTTGCTCACGATGTCAGAGCTGAGAAGAAAGCGACTGTCAAGGAGTGGGCACAAATCGTACTCCACAAAAGTTGTGAACAAGGCGAGAAGTATGGTAAACGATATTGCGCCGTTAAGGAAAGTCGAACTGGAAAAAATGCGGCTTGTTCTCGCACAGAAATTAGATACAATTTCGAAGTTGGACGATGAGATTCAGAGCTTGTTAGAAAAAGATGAAGAGATTGCGGCAGATATTCACAGCTCATCGGAATGCAGTTGCAATGTTTTGGCCGCGCTGGCTGAAATCAACGAAGCCCTGAGCACGATAGATACAAACAAGCGAAATGAGGAACTTTTCAACACATCGGCAAGTACGGTATCCAGTGGAGCACGCTGCAGAGTAAAGCTGCCCAAATTGGTGAGAAAAATTCTCGGGCAAAAGACAAGATTAGCGTGAGCTCTGGGATTCTTTTGAAAGTTCAATTCACAACAACGACGGGTTGTCTTAGGTCGACAAATTCACCTATCTGAGGGCACTGGTGGACGAGCCGGCCAAGTCAGCAATTTCGTGTTTTGCCTTGACTTCGATCAACTATGCAGAAGCCCTGAAAATGCTAGAACGGAGATAAGGGAACAAATTGATTGTGCAAAGGGCACATGTGAATGATTTGATGAATGTAAAGCCTGTGTACAACGAGAATAATACGACGAGGCTGCGCAAGTTCTTTGATGCCGTGGAAACGAATTATCAAGGACTTGAGGCACTCGATGTAAAGGAGAAGACGTATTGCGAGATAGTCGTGTACAATCTTCTAACAAAAATACCGGACTCATTAAAACTGACAATTACCTTGGGAAGAGAGTATTTAGAGTGGGGCATGAAAGATTTTATCGACGCGTTGCAAGTCGAAATGGAGCTCCGGGAATGCCACAAATTATCAGTTAGGGAGAAGGACGAAGATCAACGAAGAAGACGATGGAAACCAAGAACAGTTAGCGGATTGTTTGCCAGCCGCAACAACCGATTGTTTTGTGATTTCTGCTGTGGGGACCACAAACACGAAGAGTGCAAGAAGGTAACCGGGTGGACAGAAAGTATGCAACTTCTTGGTAAGTTCAAAAGATGTTTTGTTTGTCTAAAAAAAGGTCATTTAGCAAAAGATCTTCGTGCACGTACTAAGTGTATTGTATGTCATTGAAGGTCATTATGTGTCTATATGTGACAAAGGAAAAAAAAGAACGAAGAGAAGACTGAAAAAAGAGTGTAAGCGCAGAAAAGACAGAGCAGGTAAATGGGTGTCCTACCAACTAAAAATGGGTGTCATTGAAAGGGTTGACGAGTCAGAACCGGGAATGAATGTTCATTATCTTCCCCATCAAGCGTTAATACGTAAAGAAGCCAAAACAACTAAGCTAAGAATAATGTATGATCCATCATCTAAGGAGGGTAAGAAAGGGACTTCTTTGAATGTCTGTCTTCATGTAGGACCATCATTAACACCGTTGTTGTTTGATATATTTATTAGATTTAGGGAGAACAGAGTGGCCTTGGTAGGAGACATAGAGAAAGAGTTTTTGAACGTAGAAGTAGACAAAGCAGACAGGGACTGTTTAAGATTT